ACCAAGTCTGAGGGCCTGACCACCAAGTCCTGTTTAGTCACCTCTTACAACAAGCAACAGTTGAAGACCAATATTAACCGGAATCTTCATGGTTCCCAAGGGAAGAAACTCTGCACAGCAAATTGCGGCACCTAAGATGACTGGGGCACCCTTGCCACTTATCATTTAGGGCAAAAAGAAGGAACACAGAGCAGTTCTCGTCATCTGTCTCCTATTAACAAGGAGACAACATGGGACAGACCCTAGACTATCATCTAATCTCTGAAATGAACATATTTTACAGAAAACAATGTTCGTAAAAAAATAATCATAAAATATACTGAACATCATTGAAAACGCACCACTTTTAAAAGTTCAGATTATTAAAAGCATGTGTAAGGAATTGATATTTTTTGAGTGGATAATAACATATGGATGACTGACAAAAACAACAACACAGAAAAGAGACACTCCTTCATTTAAATGTTCCACAGTCAGAAAGGATCAAACGTGGGGTCAAATCGAAAAGTCAATATTGCGTGTGACCGTCATTTGCATTGACACATGCAGTTCAACGTCTCCTCATTGAGTCAATAAGTGTCCGAATAGAGTTCTTGAGGATGGCATTCCACTTCTGCAGTAGTGCAGCCTCAAGTTCCAGGATGTTTTGCATCTGTTGTTGCCGCAAAAGACTTTGACCAATTTCATCCCACAAGTGCTCATGGGGGATACATCTGGCGACTGTGCTGGCCAATGAATAACCTGGATGTGTTGCTGGGCCAGATACTGCATGGAAAGTCTTGTTGTGTGTGCCTGTGCATTGTCCTGTTGAAAAGTATGGACATCTTGGTGGTGATTGAAGACAGATACGATGTGATTCTGAAGAATCTGATCATAGTAATAAAGGGCATTAACTCTCCCTTGACAGACATGAAGGCAGTCCTGTGATCGTAATTTATTCCACCCAAGACCATGATTCTCCCACCACCCAAAGGTCTTTCTGAACCACACACTCATCAGCATAATGTTCAACACGTCTACGCCAAACTCGTAGTCGGTCCGTCAGCATTACGTAGATGAAGACGCGTGACTTGTTAGTGACTACCACACCATACCATTGTTGTAACCTTTACTGAAATACCTGCTAGCCCATTGTATCACGCTCATTACGGTGTCTGTCAGTCAGAATTGGTCCAATGGAAGGAAATTGAGCATGGAGCCCTGTGAAGCGTGTAGACAGCGCCGCATGGAGTCGGGCTGATGACCCCTACGCCAACCTTGAACTAGTGCAGCAGTCCTGGCAGTCGGCAGTGTTCAATCACTGATATGGACAAGGTCAATATGGCGATCCTGATGGAGCCATACACGTTGTTGCCAAAGGTCATTGAAGGTCATGGGTGCTGCCTGTCTACTGATGTCGCGTCTATGAAGCCTAACGATGGTGGAGTGGCCAAGTCCAAGTTGTCGAGCAATATCTCTGCTGCTGGTGCCAACCTGAATCATGCCTAGTGCACGTTCTCTTTCGTGAGGTGTTAACCTCGGCATCTCTGTCCTCGTTTCACAATCGTTAGTGAAGCAATGAGAATTGGTTCTCATACACCTGCTTTTAATGTCACAGCCAGTATGATTTCAGAATGAAATTCGCTTTTCATGGCGTGGATGCATGTTGATGCATTTTGGAATTAAGAGTCATACTGTGGACAGGAATTTGTTTCTAAAGCATTTTTTCAACTGGACATGCCCTTCGACTTCATGTTAGTTATATTCCATTGATCATTGTCATGCTGAAATCCATCTTGATGAAAATATGGACAATTTTAGACTGGTGCATTTTCAATGATGTTCAGTATATAATGAAAAGGAGCCCAGAAACTTTCTTCATTTTCAGAAACTGGAAATCTAGACTTGCCTTATATACAGGGTCTGTATGACAGACTAGGCAGGCACTTGTGCAGTGGAGCGATTGGTAGTGAGACAGGCACGGATGAAAATCTAAATAATTATTTATGGTGGAACATTACAGAGAACACTACAAGGGAGGTAATAGAGGACGTGGCTGTGATTGCCGCTGCTGAGTGATCAAATATAGCCAACATCTCAATACATTCAAACAGAAAACAGTTTGATAGTAAAATAGATTTATTAAGACAGAGTTGTTAAAGCAATAAATCTGACAGGAATAACTGAAAATATATAGAATATATGGTGTATAATAGGGCGTAACATCATGTAAGACACTGAGGACTTAACATCTTCGGAAGAAGTAATCCCAGATCTGAAGCACTAATCTAAGACAGTGAGTGAGTGACTTTAGTCATATATTGCTTTAGCAATATTCCAGCAATATCAGCGGGGGACACCAGAAATGTGCTTGCACATTGTACCCATGGGGGAATCGAACCCGAGTCTTTGGAAGTGAACACTTTAACCACTACTAAGACAGATAACAAATAATACTATATACTGTTATTAATCTTTTGAAATAATATGGGTATTCCTGCTTGAATCCATAAACTGTTGTATTAACGAAGTAATACACTGAAATTATCCTTGACATTATTTGTGGAGCATCACCACAATTTGGTATGCATTGTAAGGTTGAAGAACAGGACAATTTAGTACAGTCATCCCTCGCAATAACGCTCTTCGCGATACCGCGAATTCGGTTAAACCGCGGGGTAATCCGTGTCTCCCATAAAAAAGTTGCCCAGTGATCACACATATTCACGTCATTGAAAATAGCACAGTAGAGTTATAAAACCTATACTGCTAACAATATGTTAAGAACACCCATTCTTTCATATTACTGAAGTCAAACAGTCATACTATATATACATAGAAGTAATATGACAGAATCTGGTGTTCTTTAACTTCGTCTGAGTGGAATGTTTTCTAATCGACACATTTCATTATTTTTCCAAAACATAAACTATTAAACAACAGTAAGAAAATTTGTAAAATATTTGAATTATTATAACACCATGAAATAACAAAGAATATTAATAACAGTTGAGACTCTAATATAATCACTATGAATGTAGTTTCTTGTAAGATAACAGTAACAATAGCAACAGAAACATATAAAAACAAATTCTCAAAAAGAAATGTAAGAAAATATCCCCAAATTCGAAAGGCTTCATCACACAGAAGGTATGACACACTCCATTTATGGAGGTTAAAAAAAAACCCATTTAAAAATATTTCACTTTTTCCACCTATCCCATCTCACACTGCATGTATGATGTGGCTGGGTTAGTCATACCCAGGCCACATAGGAAACGGCCGTGTGAGACCATCATGTCTGGTTGTGTGACCAACCCATTAAGTGGTGACAATGGTGATAATGGAGGCGAGTTGTTTTCGAGCGGAAAGTTAGTTCCAATGTGTTTAATGAGTGAGTAAGAAAGTATGGTTTTAAGCCGCTTTTAGCTATATTCCAGCAATATCATGGCTGGGGACACCATAAATGGGCTTCTCACACATAGTACCCATGTGGGGAACTGAACCCAGGTCTTTGGCTTGACAAGGAAAGCTTTAATAACTAGGCTAGTCCCCACCGCTCCCTATGTGTTAAACACCAGGATAGAATAGTGAGAAATGCATAGTGATGAAGGAGAAGTATATAAATAAACAATTTATTATAAAATTTCTAATTAAAACAGGTTGGCAAATATGTACTACTTGAATTAAGTTTAAGAACAACTGATTCTTTCATATTACTTTAATCTGTTAACTACGGCAAGAAAAGAATGCCATAACAGATTAACTACAGTAACAGACCAAAACCAGCCATTCCTTAACTTCTTTTGAGAAGAATATTCAAATTGGATCCATCCACATGCAAATGAAATGCTGCTACAAGCTACCTAAATATGAATTTATTGAGATTGCAGATGGCTTGTTGAGAGCATTATGAAGGTCATAAATAACACAAGTAATTACAACATGACTCACAGATCAAATTATCCACACAAACATTGCTAACATTTTTGGCCAGGAATACAATACAATATAAAAACTTCCTAGATATTTTCTGATATTTCCGATAAGCCTGTATCATACAGGATGCGCTTGCGTTTAAATTTGTTATTGTAACTATTCTCGGAGAGGGGTTTTATAAGTTGTAAGAACTTATCCCCAATCTTTTTCACTCTGTGAACAAAATATTGGCTTCACACATGTACCCGTGTCGAGAATCAAACTCAGGTTTTTGGCATATAGAGGCAAACGCTTTAAACACTAAGCTACCCCAACGTCCCTTTAACTTTATGAAAAAGAATGTCATAATTAACTACAGCAATAGAAAAGGAAGGCCATTCCTTAAATTCTTTCGAGTAGTACCTTCAAGTTGGCTCCCAGATTTCTGCTACCAAAGGGCAATTACCCACCAACATAGAAACAAACAGCTAACAGTTGAGTGAGATGTCAACAGAAAGTATCAGTTCTACCAGAGCTATTAAACAAGACTTTACAATATATAATTAAAGATTCTTCAGAGCAATATTTGGTGTGGAAATCAATAAAACAGAGAAACAACCATCTTTATCTGGATGAATGTAAACATTTGTTTACCAAAGAAACCTGTGCAAACAATTAGGGTACATATGGTCAGATCTTGATGAAAAGTTTTGCCTATGTCAATATTTTGTTGAACACAGCAGGAAACATTAATCTGTAGTTATTTTGTAATAGGTTTTGTACATCACAAACTGTACATAAATAACTTCTAACTTGGAATGTGAAATATGAGCTGTTTTAACTTGAGAAGAATGTCTGGAAGCACATGCAATACACTATGAAAGTATTGAACAAAACATACACACAATGTGAAGGACACAAACATTCTAAACACATATAATCTCATCATCGAAAAAACATACCCCAATGACACCTTTCATTATAAAGAAATTATACACTGTATATCATATACATAATGTACCTATAACTAACATGTACAAGAAAATAATGACAACATAATTTACAATAAGCATATATGTATATACATATATATATATCTCTCTCTCTATATATATATATCTATCTCTCTCTCTCTCTCGATTCTCTCTATATATATATATATATGGCTTAAAGGTGGGTGATACCTGTATTTATTGTGTCAAATCTACATTAAAATTTAGATATTCTGTAACTGATAAATATGCTCTAACTCTGACTGGTCATGTGACATTCTACACACCCAAATATGGGAGTGCTAGTGAAAATTACATTTCACTTGTCCATCCAACTGACAGTTCGCTCATACTCATTAAAACCAACAAGTGCTTAAAACCAATTTTAATGAGTCACATGCTACAGTAAACTGTCTTTAATGAGATTGCAGTTTGCCTGTCGGGTGCATCACATTTAACTTGTAAAAATAATTAAAATATGATTGACGAAACAAAATATTATTGGAAATGCTGCTATCATATTTTGGCATAAATATATCATTCTGCATAACAATGTCCATGAGGATATATGCAAACACTTCACTTCTACAGTTTAACAGTGTACACTATACATACGTACTTTGTGGGTTTGTAAATACATCATGTTCCAACATAACAGGATAAGTATAAACCCTGTTTGTGTCAAGTATAAACCCTGTATGCATTAAATACAACCTTTGTACATATTTAACATAATGTATCCAATATAACTCCTGCATGTATCAAATACAAAACTGTATGTATTACATATAACCCCTGTATGTGCTAAATATAACCCCTGTATGTATTAAATAACACCCCTGTATGTATTAAATAACACCCCTGTATACATTTTGTATATTAAATATAACCCCTGTATATTATTAAACATAAACACTGGATGTATTAAATATAACCCCTGTATATCATTAAATATAACCCCTGTATGTAGTAAATATAACCCCTGTATATATTAAACATAACCCCTGGATGTATTAAATATAACCCCTGTATATTATTAAATATAAACCCTGGATGTATTGAATATAACCACTGGATGTATTAAGTATAACCCCTGTATGTATTCAATATAACCTCTGTATATTATTAAATATAAACCCTGGATGTATTGAATATAACCACTGGATGTATTAAGTATAACCCTGTATGTATTCAATATAACCCTGTATATTATTAAATATAAACCCTGATGTATTGAATATAACCACTGGATGTATTAAGTATAACCCCTGTATGTATTCAATATAACCCTGTATATTATTAAACATAAACACTGGATGTATTAAATATAACCCCTGTATATTATTAAATATAACCCTGTATGTAGTAAATATAACCCTGTATATATTAAACATAACCCTGGATGTATTAAATATAACCCTGTATATTATTAAATATAAACCCTGGATGTATTGAATATAACCACTGGATGTATTAAGTATAACCCCTGTATGTATTCAATATAACCTCTGTATATTATTAAATATAAACCCTGGATGTATTGAATATAACCACTGGATGTATTAAGTATAACCCCTGTATGTATTCAATATAACCCCTGTATATTATTAAATATAAACCCTGGATGTATTGAATATAACCACTGGATGTATTAAGTATAACCCCTGTATGTATTCAATATAACCCCTGTATATTATTAAACATAAACACTGGATGTATTAAATATAACCCCTGTTTATTATTAAATATAACCCCTGTATGTAGTAAATATAACCCCTGTATATATTAAACATAACCTCTGGATGTATTAAATATAACCCCTGTATATTATTAAATATAAACCCTGGATGTATTGAATATAACCACTGGATGTATTAAGTATAATCCCTGTATGTATTCAATATAACCTCTGTATATATTAAACATAACCCCTGTATGTATTCAATATAACCTCTGTATATTGCCCTAAGGACTAAAACCACAAACACAACTACTCAAAAGAAATGAAAGAACACCTCATGTATTATATGTGACTATATTTAATCTCTCATGGCCAAGACCGCCTCCTTGGTGTAGTGGTTAGAGCGTCCGCCCGGAGAGCGGAAGGTCGCGGGTTCGATCCCCGACCGCGTCATACCAAAACACGTTAAAATATGGTACTTGTTGGTCCCTGCCTGGCGTTTGGCATTAATGGGTACAACAAGGACAGGTCGGCTCGGAGTCAGTATAATGTGTCTGGTGGGGTATTCATGCTTCACTGCGGCATGGTATCTCAGTGGGCTAGCACTATAAAACCAGCTTAAGTCTGGGCTGGTACAAGCAGCCGCACATACACATACACCCGCATGCACGTCGTCATATGAGCAAAATATTCTCAAGCACGACGTTAAACCCAATTTCAGCTCACCTCACCTCTCATGGCCAAGATGTCCTATAATTACTACTTTTCAATAGTATATATTCATTAGGTGTTAAAATCAGTTGGTTTAACAACAAATAACTATTAACAGTGACCATAGGTGACAATCTTGACAGGCTTGTATCCAGGCAACACATTTCAAAGGTGTAATAAACAACCCGAAGGTTTCTTGTGACTTTTCCAGAGCTTGAGCCTGAGGCACACCATGGTAGCTCTTAGCACGACTTGCTCCCTCCAAAAATAATTGTAAAATGGGATAGAACTTGTAACTTATGCAAAACTTATGATGCTTGTTCCACCATAAACAGTTCTCAGGACGTCTATTTCGTCTTTACCCCGTCCCCAGACAGTTGGTATTACGCTTCGACGAGGTAAAATTGCCTGTTCACCCCGTGTGGACAACATTGTCAAGCAGTTCAATCCCATCCTTAGTCAGTTTATATCCGTTCTGAGCTAGACCCATCTCATTCTTAATATGCACAACCCTGTTCTAACTTGTTCTTAACTCGATCAACTCCTTTTCAGGCAGTTGTTCCCGTTTCCATTACGTTCTTGCTCCATTCCTCGCGCGTAACAGTAATCGAGCCCGATCCGGACATTTTTCAAGAAGATACTGAGAATGAGTTTGGTGTGATGGGGGTATTAGTGTAAAAATTGTCAGAATGGTCCAGTACTAATTTCATGTACAAAGAAATTCCAATATTTTTTGTCTGTTTTAGTCAGTTCCAGTTTCTGGCAAACTTGAAGCACTGAGAACTAGTCCAGATCTATCGAACCCAGATGCGTCTTGTCAAGCAGGACTAATTTCATTGTAGAATTATACGTCCCCTACACAATTTTAGTAGTCTCAGGATAGGGGACTAGCATTAATTTCGAAGGCTGTTCCCTAAAACCATGGCAAACAGTACCCAGCCAATCAAGAGAGGTGGACAAGAATGAGTAAAGAGTTGGGTATAATAAACAGAACAGTATATAAGGGCTATAGCGTATACCGTATATTACCGTAGATAAGCCGACCCCCTAACTTGACCCTTGAAATCAGTGTCAAAATGGTATGTTTTGCACATAAGCCGACCCCCGCGATCCAACCCCACACCACAATACATCTGGCAGTTGGATGTAAAACGTACACAAGCTGACCCAACATGCTTAATTACTTCATGCTTAATTACAGCCACAAAACATGACTTAAATAAGGTTCACAGTGAGATAACATACAGGGCAATAAACCATGTGGAGAATCAAACCCAGACCTTCAGTGTGATGAGTGAACACATAGATATCATGGCTACCCTACTGGACCAATACAATAAGAGACCATATATCAATATAAGGTCTCTGAATACCATATACAGATTTCTATCAAATCTAACCTATTTACAAATATAATCTATTTATACAATATTATGCTTCTCAAATGTGCATAACTAATTGCCATTATAGAAATTATATAAAATGTGGATAAAAAGAATATTTAAGTATACATATTAAAATAAATATCATGCCACATATTTCAAAGTGCCTGTTCATTCTTTTCACTATATCTCACAAATCTATCAAACAAGATCATTGAGAAGTATACACACAAACAACATGTTTTACACATGAACATAGTATAAATATGTTCACAAGAATTATATACTACAAACATTTGGAACAAAACATTCACAACCATAATCTCAAACAATCCACATCAGCATCTTTACATCAGATATGCTGGATAGACTAAACTAATATCACATATTTATAATTACTACCCACTTGATGAAAGATTTGTTTGTTTGTTGTATAACACAGTACTCAGCAATATTCCAGCTATATGGCGGCGGTCAGTGAAAAATCTGGACCAGACAATCCAATGATCAACATCATGAGCATCAATCTATGCAATTTGAATGCGATTTCATGAGTCAACCAAGTCAGCGAGCCTGACCACCCGATCCCGTTAGGACTCTTAGGACATGGGTTGGTGAAGACCAATTCCTACCCAGATCTTCATGAGAGCTCTTTCAGTTATGGGAGAGTGAGTTTAATGTTTCAATATTCCAGCAAAATCACATGGGAGATACCAGACATGGACTTCCGATACTGTCCAACTTGATAAATTGAACCTGGTTTGTAACTGACAAACTAACGCTTTACCCACTGTTCTCCTTTTTCCTTCATAAATCGGGAGTTAGTTTAGTTTTAGGTGGCTTTTAGCAATATTCTAGCAACATCACGGCGGGGGACACCAGAAATGAGCTTCACACATTGTACCCATGTGGGGAATCGAACCCGGGTCTTCGGTGTGACGAGTGAATGCTTTAACCACTAGGCTACCCTACTGCCCCTCATAAATTGTGATTTCAGATAAAGATTTACACCATTCCAAACCAATACACTAATACCAACAGACATGAATGAGATAAACGGTTGTGATTTCATCCCACCATCACACAACCAAACTTTAGAAAATGAGGAGTGAAGTGAAATAATAATAATAATTATAATAAATATAGTAATAATAATAATTCGAGCTGAATTCTAAGCTTTTTGGTATGCTCATAGTCTTAGGGAGTATACAATCCAAAATGCTATATGAATAAAAACAATCATTAAATAGTTAACTATTTGTCATTTTGTTGAAAACATAACATAACAATTTAGTCCCTGTCTGCCTTATATATTTAAACTTTGTTAACACAACAAATTAATGCATGCTTTAAAAACAGGCACAACTGGCACCTCGCTCCTTCTGGAAAAACATGGATCCAGCAGTTCACCTGTTCCTGAATCTGCTTTGTCCTATCCTGAACCTTGATCAGCACAACCACAGTATTAGCTTACAAACACTGCATGAATCTTGGTATGTATAATACTGACATCTGACACAGGCTTAGACCACACTTACTTGTCAGTTGATAAATCATTTGACCTTGACAGAGGTATTTGAAATATGTTTTTTCATTCTTGGATGTTTTGCTGAAAGATCTAAAGCACTAAGTTGCATCTACTGTTTTGTAACAAAATAACCAAAACACACAATATGTCAACCTAAAATAAAAATGTGCCTCAAAATAAATATATTTTGATATTTACTCCAAACCTCTGTATCAAAACCGATCTACTTCCCAAATCTGTGACCCGTTTACTTAACTAGTGTGGCCTTGGCATTCAGATAGGAAACAAAATATCCATGTGAAATATGGAAAGCATCAGTAATCCATTGTAATTTTTTCGTAAGCTTTTAAAGTGGGCTAACTTAAATGCAAGTATGAATTTGAGAGATGGAAATAGCATTTTTAATAGTTTCATGTTTGTTAAATAGATGAGACCTTATATCCCAACATCATCCAGCCAACATGAAAAACTAGGTGTCCATGTTCCTGTTACCACGGTAACAATGTTATGCAACAGAATGCTGGAGAGTCCAATTCCATCTGTCGTCAAACAATATAAAACCTGCTCTACATAATTAAAGGTTTAAACTTTTCAGAACAATAAATGAATCCCAACATACATTACACACAAATTTGTCGGAACCATTAAAACTGAAAGGTCAGGACATGTCTCCTAACAAAGCTGTTATATTGTTTCATTTTCATCCTGAGATATTTGGGAACAGGAATATGCCATGAGATTAAAAGACAAGGGACGGTATTCACAAAAGAACTGAGATCTGAAAAATACTCAACTTCAGTCTTGGCAAAAAGTGAGCTTTCAACTTTTTCTGACTTAAATTTCAAGATTTTACTTACTGGTAAGTCATATTCATAAAGCAACGTTTTAGGTTTAATTTTTACTTAAGAATAATCTTAGATTCTTTATAAATACTGCCCAGGGTGTACCATAAATACAGGTAACCTGATCTATGCCCAGATAAAGTCTCCATCTCGATAGCAACATTTCTGGACTGATTTCTGATTTCGTCAGTGAGGTCTCCCTCTGACAATGTCCTGAGAGTTTATAATGTTTGGAGTAAAAAAATACTGTAAATATCAGATTAGTTTTGATTAATTTTTATCAAGTTTTGATTAAAGTTAAATGTCAATAAAGACTACTTAGTGTAAAGTGTAATAGTAACTTTCCTATGCTGCCATCCTTATCTCTGAGTGGCATCCCTTCCTTATCCTTGAGTGATGTAACTTATGCTTGCTTGCCATCCTTATCTTTGAGAGGCATCTCTTCCTTATCCTTGAGTGATGTAACTTATGCTTGCTTGCCATCCTTATCTCTGAGTGGCATCCCTTCCTTATCCTTGAGTGATGTAACTTATGCTTGCTTGCCATCCTTATCTCTGAGAGGCATCCCTTCCTTATCCTTGAGTGATGTAACTTATGCTTGCTTGCCATCCTTATCTTTGAGTGGCATCCCTTCCTTATCCTTGAGTGATGTAACTTATGCTTGCTTGCCATCCTTATCTTTGAGAGGCATCCCTTCCTTATCCTTGAGTGATGTAACTTATGCTTGCTTGCCATCCTTATCTTTGAGAGGCATCCCTTCCTTATCCTTGAGTGATGTAACTTATGCTTGCTTGCCATCCTTATCTTTGAGAGGCATCCCTTCCTTATCCTTGAGTGATGTATCCTTGAGTGATGTAACTTATGCTTGCTTGCCATCCTTATCTTTGAGAGGCATCCCTTCCTTATCCTTGAGTGATGTAACTTATGCTTGCTTGCCATCCTTATCTTTGAGAGGCATCTCTTCCTTATCCCCATCCACAAGCCCAGGCTCATCAGTGTCGCTCCCACTGGCCGATGAAGTCACATATAGGTATTTATAGAACACTGTCATGATGGCGAAGATGATTGTAGCAAGACCCATGAGAGCGGCAAACAGGAAGAATTCAGCAGTCTAAACAGCAAAGACACATTGTTAAATAAAGCCTTGTTTATCAACTTTAAAGTACATAAATAGCATCAAATATTCTGACTGACTAAAAGACTGTCATTTAATATTCTAGGCAGGGGTCTGAGATTTTGCAAGGACATCAGGTATTTTTTTAGCTGCAGATGCAAAACACCTATTTTTAAATTAAAGCCAGAGCCTACATTTTGTGTTCAATTTGCAACATTGTATGTTTGTGGAAACAGTTTGTCTCTTTTTATTAGTCTGAAACATAGTTACTGCCTTCTAGCATTTTTGGAGGCAACAGATATTTTTTTAAATACAATAATGCCAGTCCTATTCCCCACCATAAGGATTGATCCCTAAGCAAGCATTCTTGCTATTCTTGCTGGATTGAAACATTTGAGATTGTAAATGTTTGGAGTGAGTAATGGAGATACAATCAACCTAGTAACTGATTCAGAAAACCTGATCCATTCAGCTATGTTGCCTAACGAGCATCTCTTACTTCCGCATATTCTCTCACTGAAGCTGAACAGAAGGTTGCTATGATGTGTTCTTATGTGTGTCTTACCTGACTGGGCAGAAGCTGCACCTCCGCAACAATGACGACGACCAGATCCCCCACTGCTGTAGTCAGCAACCACGCAGCCTGCACCACAGACTTCAGTCCATTTGGAGCCTACAGATACACAGATACCAGGGGTTACTATGGAGGTCATTTGGAGCCTACAGATACACAGATACCAGGGGTTACTATGGAGGTCATTTGGAGCCTACAGATTCACAGATACCAGTGATTACCATGGAGGTCATTTGGAGCCTACAGATACACAGATACCAGGGGTTACTATGGAGGTCATTTGGAGCCTACATATTCACAGATACCGGTGATTACCATGGAGGTCATTTGGAGCCTACCTATACACAGATACCAGGGTTACCGTGGAGGTCATTTGGAGCCTACAGTTACACAGATACTAGTGATTACCATGGAGGTCACTTGGAGCCTACAGATGCACAGATAACAGTGGTTACCATGGAGGTCCTTTGGAGCCTACAGATACACAGATACAAGTGATTACCATGGAGGTGATTTGGAGCCTACAGATACCAGTGGTTACCATGGAGGTCATTTGGAACCTACAGAGACACAGATACTAGTGATTACCAGGGAGGTCATTTGGAGCCTACAGATGCACAGATACCAGTGATTACAAGGGAGGTCATTTGGAGCCTACAGATACCAGTGATTACCATGGAGGTCAATAGGAGCCTACAGATACACAGATACCAGTGATTACCTTGAAGGTCATTTGGAGCCTACAGATACCAGTGATTACCATGAAGGTCATTTGGAGCCTACAGATACATAGATACCAGTGGTTACCATGGAGGTCATTTGGAGCCTACAGATACATAGATACCAGGGGTTACTATGGCGGTCATTTGGAGCTTATAACTCAACTTATCCACCAAATCCTCAATCCAGTAGATTTTTGTTTGGAAGATAGGTAAAGTGGTGCTGATTTATGATTTGAGATTAATAAAGGTGAACTGATTTAAAAAAATGGAACAGCTGATATTATCCTAAATATGACATACTGAAAACAGAATAGAAAATAAGACGCAATGATCTTTGGTCCTTGTAACATGAGAATGTAGAAATCTTTTGTATGAGTGAACAGGTTACACAAAATACAATGAAAACTGAATTCTCAGTACAAAGGAAGTGAGGACTTGAGGGTCCTCCTTGTTGTGTCCTACCTGAGAATATGCAAAGGACAGTCCTGTGACGGAGAAGAGGACCTCCCCGACTGTGATGATGACATACTGTGGAACCAGCAAGAACATGGACACCTGGTTCTCAGTCAGGCCTTGGTACAGCTTCACATCCGCCTACAAGAGAAGATTGTCATGTACACCTACAAGAGAAGATTGTAATGTCCACCAACAACAGAAGATTGTCATGTCCACCTACAAGTGAAGATTGTCATGTCCACTTACAAGAGAAGATTCTCATGTCCACATTCAACAGAAGATTGTCATGTCCACCTACAAGAGAAGATTGTCATGTCCACCTTCAACAGAAGATTGTCATGTCCACCTACAAGAGAAGATTGTCATGTCCACTTACAAGAGAAGATTGTCATGTCCACATTCAACAGAAGATTGTCATGTCCACCTACAAGAGAAGATTGTCATGTCCACTTACAAGAGAAGATTGTCATGTCCACATTCAACAGAAGATTGTCATGTCCACCTACAAGAGAAGATTGTCATATCCACCTACAAGAGAAGATTGTCATGTCCACTTACAAGAGAAGATTCTCATGTCCACATTCAACAGAAGATTGTCACATCCACTTACAAGAGAAGATTGTCATGTCCACATTCAACAGAAGATTGTCATGTCCACCTACAAGAGAAGATTGTCATATCCACCTACAAGAGAAGATTGTCATGTCCACATTCAACAGAAGATTGTCATGTCCCCCAACAAGAGAAGATTGTCACATTCACCGTCAACTGAAGATTATCATGTCCACCTACAAGAGAAGATTGTCATGTCCACTTACAAGAGAAGATTGTCAGATTCACCTTCAACAGAAAATTGTCATGTGCACCAACAAGAGAAGATTGTCATGTCCATCTACAAGAGAAGATTGTCATGTCCATCTACAAGAGAAGATTGTCACGTCCACCTACAAGAGAAGATTGTCATGTCCACCTACAAGAGAAGATTGTCATGTCCACCTTCAACAGAAGATTGTCATGTCCACCTACAAGAGAAGATTGTCATGTGCACCAACAAGAGAAGATTGTCATGTGCACCAACAAGAGAAGATTGTTATGTCTGACCAATAAGAAAAATTTGTCCACCACCAACAGAAGGTTGTCCACAAAGAACAGTGTACAACTTTAAAGATGACTGAATGAACACTTCTTCTAGGCATCAAGTGATGTACAGTTTCCTGGTCCAGGAGCCGTGATCTTACCTCATCGTTGAAGTCTGCAGCAGAGTTTCTGTTGATGAGGGCCAGGGTGTAGGTGGCCCCTGACAGGAATGTCACCAGCCCAGCCTGCTCCTTCCACTCCTCCCCAGGGGTCTGTAGTGGCAGGGACACCTTGTACCTGCAACATGACCTCTCCCTGTCACCGCACGCTACACACATCAAGGATATATTCAGGAACACAAAGTAAGTGCTGCTGTCAGGAAAGCAGTAGCTTGTTATATCATTCCTAACAGCAATTTTATTACAGTTCATATTTTCCTCACCTCAGTCATTTAACATTGAAATAACCACTGTGTTTAGAGCAATGACACTAGACAAAGCCTAAACACCCTTCTTTATAATGGTACTGATATTGGTGAAATACCTAACAATATAACTATAACAATATGAATGGAGATGTGTTAATTCTAATTTCAGATTTTGTCTTCCCCTACCCCTTCAGTTAACAAACCCCAACTCACACTGCTGGCTCTATGCTGGTGTACACGGTAGTGTTGTCACGGCTGAAGTTGAGGTACAACTGCCCCCTTGTCTTCCCCTACCCCTTCAGTTAACAACCCCCAACTCACACTGCTGGCTCTATGCTGGTGTACACGGTAGTGTTGTCGCGGCTGAAGTTGAGGTACAACCGCCCCCTTGTCTTCCCCTACCCCTTCAGTTAATAACCCCCAACTCACACTGCTGGCTCTATGCTGGTGTACACGGTAGTATTGTCACGGCTGAAGTTGAGGTACAACCACCCCCTTGTCTTCCCCTACCCCTTCAGTTAACAACCCCCAACTCACACTGCTGGCTCTATGCTGGTGTACATGGTAGTATTGTCACGGCTGAAGTTGAGGTACAACCAGCCCCCTTGTCTTCCCCTACCCCTTCAGTTAACAACCCCCAACTCACACTGCTGGCTCTATGCTGGTGTACACGGTAGCGTTGTCGCTGCTGAAGTTGAGGTACAACCGCCCCCTTGTCTTCCCCTACCCCTTCAGTTAACAACCCCCAACTCACACTGCTGGCTCTATGCTGGTGTACACGGTAGCGTTGTCGTGGCTGAAGTTGATGTAAACAGGTGCCCCTGACACCTTATTCCCATTCATCGGCACCAGTCTGACTCTCTGGGAACTGTTCGTGTACGGCAGGTTACTGACAATGCTGGAACAATCAGGTACAGGTACACCATTACTCATTCATACATCAACAAATCTGATAAGCCAGTTGTTGTCTTGTAAAAATGACCACTACATGAAGATTGTAAGCTTGAAGCCTTTATTGAGAGTGAGTGAGTGAGTTTAGTTTTTAGCTTTTAGTTTTAGCCTTTTAGCAATATTCCAGCAATATCACGGCGGGGGACACCAGGAATGGGCTTCACCTTTATTGAGACAACACATATTCAATCTGTTCAAACTTCAACTTCTCATACTGGAAGTCTGATCATGATTACAAGAGTTTTCACAGACAATATTTCATTAAAATATAATCTTTGTACCATGGAAATGAGTTTTGTATTACGCTGATTTTAGTCTTGCATAATTAGTATAATTCAGTTTAATAACTTCCAGACACACCACTAGTGACAATAATAATATCAGTTGAAATCCAGCTTTAATGAACACACAATTCCTTTTAGATGCAATCTATTTATCTGGGATTCCAGCTTTAATGCCAGAATAACATGATAAATTGGGGACAAATATTTGTAAAGATAAAATAGCCTCATAGTTACCTGACATCTGATAGTCCATTACTGGGTTTAGCCCTCTTATCCATGAACTGAAAGACAACATCGGAATGCAATCAAGAGAACATGTTTGGAAGGCGAGAAATGCTAAACTTGTTAACTTGGATTTAAGTGAACAAGAATCTTTAATAATATTAACTAATATAAATACATTATGTTTTTCATAATATCTGGTGTTGTTGCATCCATTACTGTCTACATAAAACTACAATTTCCTGTTCATTGGGTTTCATGATGAAGCCCTCATGCTTTGATAGATTTGAGAGTTGTAAATATAATTATAGTTGTATTATTACATTTTACTATAGCTATATTACCTATTGACATTTTGCCTTATTAAAAACGAAATGACATAGTTATCCATGGACAAATCATCAACATACCTGCTTCATAGTCATGTGACCTTGTGAGTCCATCATGATAACAACTCGGTATGCTGTGGCGCCATCAAACAGGAAGGTGTCTGTCACAGATCTTGTTTTGTCCTCTGTGCAGGTGGCAGACAGCGACATGTTGTCGCTTTGATGCCGGAACATACCTGTATTCTGTGAGAATGAGATTCAACATTACATATTACAAAACATAATGCAAGAAATCATAGAGACATACTGACCAGTTTATAAGCTATGTTCCATTAAAATGCTAAATTCCAATTTATCACCTTGGAAGCACAAACAATAAGAATTTAAGAAAACGGTAATAAACCCAGTAACAATTACTTATGTGTAAAATTTCATCAGTTTCAGTCAGGTGTGATGGCCATATTGAAGATCAGATTCAAACCTTTATTCGTTGAGCAGCTTTTATAAAAATCATTGCTGGCACCAGAAGCCAAAATTTCAATTCTTATGAAGAGAGTCTTACTTGGGGTACATATATACAGGATACTAAATGACCTTCCGTGTAATACCATTTTTACGAGTTAATTATTTGGTATCAAACGAGCGAAAGCGAGTTTGATACTAAATCTTTCACGAGTTTAATGAAAATGGTATTTCACGGAAGCGAGTTTAGTATTCTGTTTATCACTCTCCAACAAAAATTGATAGAAACTGCGGCTCTCAGCTCTCAGTGTGATGACTCTCAGCTTTCTGCGAGTCAAACAAGGTCTAGTACCATTGCGACAGCGGCATTAGCATTGTGACGTCATAACTGTGAACACTTATGATGTCATACGTCTAGCGGTATTACACTAGTGTAATATTGCCGTGAACATATTACACTGCAGTATCTTCCACGGGAGAGTAATAAATGCATTTTCTGCTGCTGAGACTGTTCTGATATTGCACTGCTATACGGAGCAGCACAACATGGTGATACCTCCCCTACTGTACATGAGCCAGGGGTACCATTGCCCCAAATCATCATGCCTTCTGCTGATGATGACCAACAGGGAATAGATTCATACATGTACCTCAAGGAAGACTCTCAACGGGTTTAGCTAATTCTTTTTCAGAAGATGCCTTCCTTGAGGTACATATATGCATTAACACAGAGTCCAAAAGACTAGAGACCGCCTCCGTGGTGTAGTGGTTAGAGTGTCCACCCAGAGAGCGGAAGGACACAGGTTCGATCCCTGGCCAAGTCATACCAAAAGACGAACAAAAATCGGTACTTGTTGGTCCCTGCATGGCACTCGGCATTTATGGGTACAACAAGGACTTCGGCTTGGAGTCAGTATACTGTGTCTGAGTGGGGTATTCATGCTTAACTGCGGCATGATATCTCAGTGAGCTAGCACTATAAAACTGCTCTAGTACAAGCAGCCGCACATACACATACACATTCATCATATGAGCGAAATATTCTCAAGTACGACGTTAAACCCCATGTCACCTCACCTCACCAAAAGACCAGAGTAGGAGGAGGGAAATTCTGGTACTAGCCAAACTAGTGTTGACTTGCCATTACACGTAGGTGTGTGTCACGAGACAGTTCCAACTCAATGCATGCTAATGACCACATAATTTTTCAGACCTCTCCCCCCCAACCAACTTGTGGTGATGGAGGCCACAAGGGATGCACTAACACCCAATACCGACCCAGATGTTTCAGACACAAGTGTGAAAAGATGGCATCTACTGGACAAGGGAAACCTTGGAATGACATAACATGTCTTGACTTTCAGTTGAGTGAGCCAAAAAGTGACACTCGCAAAACAGACAGTGACAAGTTATATGATCTATAAGGTACACTGTGCTGGCTTGTACCATTAAGTAAGAGGGGTGGTGGGGTAGCCCAGTGGCTTAAGCGTTTGCTCATCACATGAAAGACCTGGGTTCAATTCCCCTCAAGGGTGCAATGTGTGAAGCCCATTTCTGGTGTCCCCTGCTGTGATATTGCTGGAATATTGCTAAAATCAGCATAAAATCATACTCACTCACTGTAGGTAAAAATGAGCTCTTCACTCTCACCTGGTAGGTGGTGATGTTACCACTATAGAAAGGGGAGGTAAGTGAGACATTGCACTTCATTGTGTTGAGGACTGTAATGCCAGATTCCCCCACGGCTAAGGGAGCCTCTTTGCTGCTCTGGAACAAAAAGTCAAACCTACTGTCACAGATAAAACACTTGTGGTCCATTTGAAGATATGTACAATGTTTTTCCACTGGTGGTGTGTTGGGCACTTACCAAAATTAGATAAATGTGGAATGTAGACATATAAAAAATACATGTATGCACAGAAACTTCTCTCTCAAACATGTGTACCAACCAAACACACGCATGCATGTACACAGAGGCATGCACATTGGGCATACACGTGTCTCATGCACATCTTATGCTCCATAAACTGATATGCTTCAGTTATTTATATACTACCCATCAAAAGTTTAGACTCACTAGTGTAAATGTAGCCAGTTAATTCAGTCAATTGTTCTGAACTAGATTTTGCAAAATATTCCATACTGTTTAAAGGTACTGTTTACGCATGAACTGATGTATTGTAAAACAAGTTCGTAATGTTAAAAGATTATTGTCATGAGTTCAATAAATGATGAAACTCAGTGAAAATTGGCGAATTCTTAAGAAAACTTTACACCAAAACACAGCTGTTCACATGCACGATATTTGCACATGCTTTTCAGCAATTTGATGCATGATCCTCGTGCAGTTCATCTGCATAAGGTTTGCACTTGGTTCCCCTAAGTTAGTGGAGAAATTCATCTTCGCTGTAACCATATACATAACATAACACATAGTGAGTGCTTTAAGTGAGTCTAAACTTTTGATGGGTAGTATATTTCCACTGAATACTGAGGATGGATTATGAGACCTGAAAGCAAAACAATACAGCAATGCCACAGACCTGTGTGATGATACTCACATCTAATTTAATCTGTACAAGTCCTGCAACTATAAACGCCAGAACACCGAAGCTCATTCCCACAACCATCCGCTGTAGAGGCCTGGAAGCAACCAAAGATGTAACATCATCCTCCCTAATCAAGGGTATGATACATCCACCCTTCACAGTAAATACCATCAAACATCTTTGTTTCGATCTTGTTCAAATTACACATTGCCAAAGACACACAATTTGCTCTTCTTTAAGACTGACTGACTGAGTATGGTTTTACGCCGCTTTTAGCAATATTCCAGCAACATCACAGCAGGGCACACCAGAAATGGGCCTCACACATTGTACCCATGTGGGGAATCGAACCCGGGTCTTCGCGTGACGAGCCAAAGCTTTAACCACTAGGCTACCCCACCACCCCTCTTCTTTTAGAATTAAAACAAATATGTATAATACCAGCATTCATCTTGCATTCCATCTCAAGTACAAACTTGTGTAATATAAGGACTTGAAATTAACCTCTTGTATGCAGGAAAACCTATTTTCTACTAAAAATTCATTATTTAGTCTTGTACCTCAATTAATCATATCAAAGGCTGCCTTGAAATGAGTGCCTATTTGGGTTGATAATAGAAAGTCCAAAGATACTGCAGAACAGAAGGTAAGGGTCACCCAATTCTTTCACGTTTCTCTCTGTCATGTTATCTTTTGAGTATCTTAATCAGGTTCAATCTCAGATATTATCAGAATAAACTTGCATGTGAAAAACACCTTTTCCATCTTTAAAATCTGGTTCAAGGATTTAATCATATTTAGATTTTGTTGTGTAAATCAGCCTTTTTCACATATTCTAGTTATATAAGTATGTTCAGACCAAAAAAAACCCCTTGCATGTGAAAGAAAACAGGAAGCTGGTTGTCAGCGTAGTGCAGGGGTTGACATTTTTTTCAATACTTCACTGGACACAGGTCCAGTAAATTTTCAAAATCCACTTGATCAAATATTCATTTCACTTGACCACAATTAACAATTAGATGTCAATATGTTACTGTAAATAGATTGTGACCTCATTTTTGACAATTAACATGTCCGTAGCTTGGCACTGCTGGACTACGGTAAAGTTTAATGTGGACATTATCTTGACCAACCAGAGAATTCCACTCGACCCGGGCGTCAACCCCTGAAGTAAAAATATCTAAATATTTTTCACACCACTATTTCACAGTTTTTCACAATTTAAAAGTTTGACCTTTCGTGTAAGCCTTTCTTGTACCTCCTGCAGAGCGGTCGGGTAGCCTGGTGGTTAAAGCATTTACTTGTCACGCCTACAGACCTGGGTTTGATATCCCTCATGTACTATGTTTTAAGCCACTTTCTGGTGACCCCCTAAATGATATTGCTGGAATATTGCCAAACACACCGTAAAACAAGAGTTTGCCACTGATATGGCCATGTTCCCCCGCCGCTAAAGAATGGAATATCTATAACATATTTACTACTTTTTATTTTTTGGTCACATACAAGATGCCTGAAATGACTGGTGTCTGCATAATCACCCAATGTAGGCTGTCAACATAATTGAAAACATTGGGTGCAATGTTTTATGAGATATTGCATTTAAATAAGTTTTGAAAAGTGGTCAAAGCTTCGTGGTGACCTTGAAGATAAGGTCAAGGTCCCCCAAATCGACCAGTGTCTTGGTAATTCCCCAATGTAGGCTGTGACCAAATATGAAGACATTGGGTATAACAGTTCATGAGATATCGCGTTAATAAGAGTTTGAAAAGTGGTCAAAGTGTCATGGTGACCTTGAAGATAAGGTCAAGGTCCCCCAAATCGACTGGTGTCTTGGTAATTCCCCAATGTAGGCTGTGACCAAATATGAAGACATTGGGTATAACAGTTCATGAGATATTGTGTTAACAAGAGTTTGAAAAGTGGTCAAAGTGTCATGGTGACCTTGAAGATAAGGTCAAGGTCCCCCAAATAAACTGGTGTCTGGGTAATTCCCCAATGTAGGCTGTCACCAAATTTGAAGACATTGGGTACAACATTTATGAGATATCGCGTTAACAAGAATTGGGACGTACAGACGGACGTACGGACAGACGCTGCTGAATACGTAGTCCCCCGTTCCGTGTTGCGACGGGGGACAACCATACTCACTCCTGCCTCCTGCTATGCATAAGTTATTATTAACTGGACCGACCTGTGAGGGATCTTGCAACAGTCTAGCAGGGGGTAGATGATGTGTTCAAAAACTGGGATGAGGAGGATGATGAGCAAGGGATTCAACACCTGGAACATCGACAAATCAACAGATAAAGTATAACTGTGAAGTAATTAGAAGCATTGGTCAACTGTGAAATGATAAGACATATTCTGTAAGTGCGTCACACTCATTGTACATTGTACAACGCATGACTTTGTACCTGTGAAGTTATCACACACTGTATAACTGAGAAGGCATCGTATACACCTCCAACTGTGACAATATCAGGTACATTGTTTAATTGGGAAGTACAGAATACTCAAATGTTTACACATTAGAATTACCGTATTTCCTCTAATAAGCACCTGGGTGCTTATTTTTTCAATGGTGTTCCAGACCCAGCACTTATTAGAGGCCTGCTGCTTTTGTGCTTACTGGGTCTAATTGCTGTAATTGTTAGTGAGCTGCTTTACCACCAGCGCTATTAGAGGCGTTTATTAGAGACCCGGTGCTTATTGGAGGAAATATGGTACACTACGACAAAACACAACTGTCACATATCAAATTTGTAACAACACCTAACTGTTGCAATATTATAAGTTGTATGCTTCTCTCGAGGGTAATACAGTCTGATGTACGCCTCTTTGTAGCAGTGTCACCCGAGCCGGTAGGCGTCATACGATTGTTAGCGCTTCAGCTTCTCGGCGGAGAGCATGGCGGTTACCGTGGCAGTGAGTAATATTTTTTGCAGTTGCCACCCTCCTGGGAGGGAAACTTGTTAAACCGTCATTGACCAATGAAATTAAAGTGTTTTACATGGAGGTAAGATAATGCTTTATAAAAACACAATACTAATTATATGTTACACTGTAATGTTACATAACTGTTGTTATTATTCGCCCGTGGAAGATACTGCAGTGTAATATTTTTACGGCAATATTACACTAGTGTAATACAGCTGGACGTATGATGTCCTAATGGTTTACAGTTATGACGTCACAATGCTGATACCTCTGTCACAGTGGTATTAGACCTTGCTTGACTCACGGAAAGCTGAGAATCATCACACTGTAGTGCAAATCTATCAACTCATGATGGAGAGTAATAAACAGAATACTAAACTCGCTTCCATGAAATACCACTTTCATTCGCTCGTTTGATACCAAATCATTAACTCATTTAATAAAAATGGTATTACACGGAAAGTCATTTAGTATCCTCTATTAATATTACACTGTTACAACAAATATCAAGCTGTTGTTATACTACATTGCAACAACACCCTACTGTTAGTATATTATTCAGCAATATTACAACAACATCCACCTTTTTGCATATTGAACTCCAACAACACTAAGCTATTGCTATATTAAATTGTAACAGCACCTAATTGTTGTTATATTACAATGTTACAACACCCTACTGTTATTATATTATACAGCAATAACACCCAATGGTTGGTATATTACATTGTAACAACACCCAAAAGTTTGTATATTACATTGTAACTACACCCAACAGTTGGTATATTACAATGTAAAAACACCAAGCTGTTATATTACATTGTAACAATATGTATTAAATTGTAACAATACCATTCTGTTGGAATATTACACCCTAAAACACCAAATCGTCATATTACATTGTAAAAATCACTCAAGTCCCCACAACTATACCTGAAACTGATCTGGTTTCAGTCGCCCAAGGCTTCCCTGGAAATAAGAAAAGAAACAGGTTTAACATGCTACAAAATAATGCCATTTCTCTGTTCAAAGTGCTAAACATTTTAAGCATTTTATGAAAATACATTTTCAATTGTAAACACTTTGCAATTCCATGCATCAGAGATATGCATGGATAGAACAAGCAGCCACCTCTGATAGTCTTCATTGATGTGAGACATGTACGGGTAGGGTTCATCGACAAGATGTGGCATGCTAAACGTTGTGTTTGTGCAACACTTATAAAGCATTTCATGAACTGAATGTAAGAATTATCATTACTTAGAATGTTGAAAAAAGCTTCCAACACTTTGTTTAGTGACTTAACTACTGTAAATCATGAAATTAATGCATCACAAATTGAATGCGAGTACGAGGATCTAGTCTAAAATGCGTCACGAAATTAATGCGAGCTCAGGAATCTGTGTTGGTGATAAAATGTGACATCCTGAATCTTTGATGTTGTTCATTTTCTTTTCACACTTGTTATTTACCAAATAAGCAATGAATGGAAATGAGTTGACGATGTTTTGATTACGCTACCATGTTTGATCACGTGATTACTTGCTACTACTTGTCTTATGACAACATTTATAAACATAATCCAACTTACAACTCAAACTTCAGAAAGTATGTTTCTTATTGTAATGTTTGTTAAATCAAGACATAAGCAACTGATGCAGTTTCTTGACTAAAAATGCAATGTAAAATATGGCTGTGTCCTAATGCCCATATGTGTTTTGTGTTGGGGTTCACAATTACAATCGACTATTGATCGAATAGTGAGCTCAGATTATCGATTTGCATATCGTGAGCGATAACCGCACTATTAAATACCCTTTTGAACCATAGGCCAGTCATAACTAGACTCAGGATTCACAGCTTATCTATGTACAGTGAAACCTGTCTAAACCGGCACCCCACGGGACTGAAATAAAATGCAGATTTAGACAGGATGCTGGATTAGACAGTGATGATCATTTTCGAACATGACTGCCATTTACACTTTATTCCTGATTATCTAGCATGCAGAGAGGAGTGTATTGGATTAAGGGACCCTGACTGGACTGCTCATACCCATGCCGGCTTAGAGCGTTTGATTCACCCCGCAATCACTACTTCCTGATTATCTAGCGTGACAAGAGGATTAATTAGTGTATTGGATTATGGGACCTTCATTGGACTGCTCGCGCTTGTTAGGACCGCGCCGGAATACAGAATAGGCAGGTGCCGGATTAGACAATGTCTTAATGATCATAATATCGTTGTAAAATGGCGGGACCAAAATTTTATGCCGGTTGGGGCAGTGTGCCGGATTAGACAGGTGCAGGTATTGGCAGGTTTCACTGTACATCTTTGCTTCCATTCACAGACCAAGTCTCTGAATGTGAACCAAGATAATAAACTTTCAGCTCTAGAAATATAGTTATCATTGACTATTCTTGAAATTTTACACAATTAAACACTATGTTCATAATGCAATGAAGAAATCCAATGTCATCAACAAGTTCATTTGTGACCAACTTGTGTTATTCCGGGACAAGCCGAATAGCGACTCGTGCCCCTCTGGAAGGATTTCATATTGGCACATGAACATCAGAACTACTTTAAACAAGAACGATAACTCTATTCTTGTTCGATTCCAATGGTACTTATATCACCCAAGCGCTTGTACATTGTGTTGCTGTTTTTGCTTATTTATTCTAAAGAATTAAACCTCTCTTATACAACTAAAAGATGGAGAAAAACATATTTGTTAAATACACATTCTAATGTGATTGTTACCAGCTGTTCGCCTTATATTTCCAATCATATTTTTAAATAGGGTTTAATAATCACAAATGGGATTTGTTTTATTGAATATGCAAATAAAATAGAAAACAAAATCAGCTACATTAAATTCTAAAGCAGATACTCAGAAATAACTTTAAAATACTTCTCAAACTGAACATTCGTGTAACCCTGCTGTCATACCCCTGGTGGAATTTTAAATGAACTAGCTGAAAAAATTTCACCCCCCCAAATGTCAGACTAAACTATCCCCAGATATGTGAAATATAAGCCCAATGTTAAAGATTAAAGTTGATTAGTTACATATAGATATAATATTATTGTTTTGAAACTGGTAGAGATTTATAATTGCATTTCCTAAAAATGTTGGAAGCGCACATACAATCTCCAAAACAAGCCAGCAAGATCGTCAGAAATACACTAAGTTGGACCCATGAGAGCTGTTATGTCAAAAAACGCATGTGTGTGTATTTGAATCTCTCACCATCAATCGCATTACTCTTATCAAAAACTTCACATTAGGCAGCACAATTCTGTAAGCTACGTTCTTTGTACTTTCAATATGACGATATGTATTTTTCATGATTTTTAAGCAATTACATAATGCTATAAACGATTTAAGTACTCAGGATTATTTTTATCAAAGCATTCATTACGCGCATTCTGATTGGTTTGTCGTATTTTCGCACATAACAAGCATCGATAGGGGGGCGAGTCTTCTTGGAGGTTACGGAAAGGTGCGAGTGGCGACGAATGCAACAAGTTCTGAATACAGAGTTACCTCCCCTGGCATATAGTCATCTGATGCTGTCTACCCTCACCGCTATGAAGAACGCTATGCATATCCTGTATTTTGCCTCCGTGTCGATGAACAGGGGGCAGACAACTGCTACACTACACTGGCATAAGACTTACCATGGACCCATCCATTTCTTCTGCTTGGAGAGTCCATCTTGATCCCTGAAACAAAATGCATTATGTTTCACATGCATGAGGGAGTTGGGATTTAGACTGCTTTTAGCAAACCAATGCAGGGTACACCAGAAATGGGCTTTACACATTGTACCCATGTGGGGAATTGAATCTGGCCTTCACCGTGATGAACAAAGGATTTATCCACAAGGCTTCCCCACCTCAAGTTTTAGAACATATTTATTCATTCTACGTTAAATTCCCCGAATTCAGAGCTGACAAGTATTTGGTTTACCCCATTTATGCCAAGCGCCAGGCAGAGTAATAAGTACTAGTGAGTAAGTGAGTTTGGTTTTAAACTGCTTTTAGCAATATTCCAGCAATATCATGGCAGGGGGCACCAGAAATGGGCTTCACACATTGTACCCATGAGGGGAATCGAACCCGGGTCTTTGGCATGACAAGTGAATGCTTTCAGCACTAGGCTACCCCACCACCCCCTAATAAGTACTAATTCTGCTGGTAGGATGCTACCAGGTTCGAACCACTGACCTTCTTCTCTCTGGGCAGACAATCTACCCATGAGGCCATGGATTCATTCAAAATCAGCCAGGTCACTGTATATGTGGTGGTGTGAGGGAGTGGTCAGAATATTGACCAGATGGTGGAAACAAGAATGGTAAAAAACACCCACAAAAGTACATCCAGCTAAACACCGGTGAAGATCCAAGATCCAAGTTAGAATTGATCTGCAGCAACCCATGCTTGTCGTAAGAGGTGAATAACAGGATCGGTTAATCGGGCCCGTGTATGTGCTTGATGCATGTCATCGTATCAATGATCATTATGTCAATCATTGGAACGTCTGACCCCGACATGATTATTTACAGACAACCACGATATAGTTGGACAATTGCTGAGTGAAGCGATAAACTGAGTACACTAAACACAAGTGTTAAAAAGTGTGGTGGAAGCATGCGAAAGTGACTTAGTTCAAATGTGCCTCTTTTAACCCAGGAGGAATGGACACTGATAAATGAATTGGGATGTCATTCCAGTTGTAAACTCCTCAAGGAGCTGAGAATGATAAGAGAAATTTACTTGAATCCACTGATCTAGGAACCAATAAACTGCATTTCAAAAGGAATGTCTGGATAAGTGTAAAATATAAATTCTTAGTATATACATAACATATACATTGTATCTTCATCAGATAAACATGTTGTAGAAGTGACCTATCCTGACCTGGCGCCCTACATGGGTGTGTTTCAATAATATATATATTATGAATTTATATCCCACACTTATCCAGGCACTTCTTCTGATATGTGGTTTATTAATTCCTAAAACAGTGGATCTGTAAAGATCTTTCTCAACTCCTTGAGGAGTATACAACCCTGGAGCCCTACATGAGCTTGTTTTAATAATATATGATATATATCCCACACTTATCCAGGCATTTCTTCTGAGATGTGGTTTATTAATTCCTAAAACAGTGGATCTGAAAAGATCTTTCTCAACTCCTTGAGGAGTATACAACCCTGGAGGCCTACATGGGCGTGGTCAATGAACCTGTGATTGTTTACCTACCTGCTGATCAAACAATGCCCAGAACAATGGCAGAGGCAGAAACAGCCATAATACTTTCAGTAAGATCTTCACATCTTCTACAAAACTCTCCTGAAACAAAAACGATGACAGTTGAAATTCAAAACATCAGCCAGAGAATATTCAGTCTCAGTTATCTGCCAAATCAGTTTTCATAGTGTAAAAACAGTGACGAAAATGACATGATATGACCACTGAAAATCACAGATGACAAAAGGTAGTCGTGAACAGAATATGTATGTTCAGCCCAACAGTAGAACCCACCATTTACAAAATTTTCCAAAAGATTTCTAAGTCTTTGAATGTTCCCCATTGTTGCAACTAGTACAATTTCTGTGTTGAACCACTCATGTGCTTTATCTTCCACTGATTGGCAGGCTGTTATTCTTGCAACAACCCCTTGCATTGTTAAAGTCAGCTCATGTATCAAATGTTGTAAGTCTGTATCACCCATGAGGAGGGCTGTACAATAAACTAACCTGTAATCATGTCTAACATCAACAGTATCAAAAGGCAAAAATCCAGGGCCCCGTTTCACAAAGATATCATAGCACTATGACTGTTGTAGGTCCATGTTGCAGTATAGGAGGTACGACAGTTGTAGCGCTATCATATCTTTGTAAAACGGGGCCCAGGTCACAGACATTGTCACTGTAGTGATTCAAGTCAACATGACTATGGTCATGACAAACTAAGGTTTGTTATTGTGGCAATTCTTGATTTGGAAAGGTTTAACCTGCTGGTTCAGGGACTGGGTTATTCTTGCTCAGACAAATAACAGAAAAACAATGTAAATGATATATAATATAAAAATTTTGTAGTGGGACAGGTATCTAACATGTCATAGGTTGGTTCTATTCATCATCACGGAACCTATGGCCATAGGTTCCAGATTCCCTGGTAATGTTTCTACATTCGACAGCAATATTCTGTGTTTTGTAATATTGCTGATGTCAAGTAAAATTTTAACTAAACCACACACGTCAACAGTACAGAGGCCCATGTTCATGGTTGATGGAGAAACATCATGGATACAACCCACAATGGCAGTTTTCAAACAATATTAGTAATATCAACACATTGGGGAATGATGGGTTTACTTCTTGTTGTCAATCTCTGCTATTGGTGTTGTACAATATCAATATTCTACAGAAACAGGCCAATCTTACCTCAAACTTATCTCCTGCGAGGTCCAACCAGTGGGTCTTTTGCTCTTGCACCTCTCCTCTTGTCTGACATGACCTCCGAAGGCCGTGCTGCAGGAATACAATAGTATCCATATAAAATGTCAATGGCAAACAAAAACAGTCTTGATTATCTCCAGAAACAGATGCATAAAACATAAATCAGTGGTGAATATTACGCAAGTGGATCACTGAAAATGAGGTTCTCCCAAAGACAACCAGTGACCATTATCACTAGTGCAAAGACAAATTCTGGTAGAGTATACTCTTTCCATCAACTTATTCTAGTCAATACACTAAGACCACAATCTAAATTGTGCAAAATTAAGGTTATGTCCGACAGACACATTCATTATAGGCAAGCAATGATGTCCTCTTTTTGATGTTTGTTGCTCATAGCCCATGATGTATGCATGCAAGCAGCAGATCAGTCCACCAAAGGTTGCAAGTGTAGCGGCCATAAAATTTCCGAGTCCTGTGCTGGGATTCGAACCACGGAACTTCTGATCCGAAGTCGGACGCCTTGTCCACATGACCAAAGAGGTTAACCCCATCAGCAAGCTGACAAGGTAAGGATGTCATCTATGGGATGACTCCAGGCCCTGCTACACAAGCATCACGGAATCAGCAGACAGAATTGTAGACAAAGGGAGATAATCAGGAAAAACCGTAACAAGGTGTAAAACACACTTTGTGAATGGTATATTATGTATGCCATTATGAAGTCATAATGGCAGACCTTTCTCAAGACACTATGACTGAGACCAACCGTGGAACACTGAATTCATGATTTTGGCACTTCTAGTGATGTGTATGCACATGTGTGTGTGACAGGCTGTAATAGTCGACACTATTGCTGGTGTCCAACTGCTAGCCCACTGAGATGCCGTACAACAGTTCAACATGAGTACTCAGACACAGTGCACTAGCTCTGAGCTGTCACATCCTTGTTTTATCCCCTTAATAATGAGCTCATTCACTGTACCATCTTTTAACATCCTATGGTATGATACAGCCAAGGTTTGAACCCCAGACCTTCTGCTCTCTAGGCAGGTGCCTTAACTACTAGACCACTGACTGACTGACTGAGTTTTGTTTTATGCCTCTTTTAGCAATATTCCAGCAACATCACGGCGGGGGACACCAGAAATGGGCTTCACACATTGTACCCATGTGGGGATTGGAAACTCAGGTCTTTGGTATGACGAGCCAACGCTTTAACCATTAGGCTACCCTACCGCCCCTACTAGACCACTGACAATTATTGATCTTTAGCATGTGTGAGAGGTACTCACCCATATACATCGTAAAACTTTCCCTAGAATATTCCCTGAGGGTGGATTTCTTTTGTACATCCTTGTCCCGGCAATAAATATAACTGAAAATAAATGTAAATAAGGATTTATAGTTAACTAAAGTACTGTCGGAAATAGAAAAAAACTGTTTTTAGGCTGTTACTTTGTATCCCTAAAAGTTACACAACAGCAACCCAGATAGCACTGATATGTTGGCCCATAGTTGGCCCATAATCACCGGTTTGGTTGGCCCATGGTTGTCAAACTGACGATGGGCCCACTTGGATATGCTCATCGGCTCCACAGTGGCCCATCATGTTGGCTCATTGTTGGGCCAACGAATGAAAATTCACACAAAACCATGGCCCATAGTTGGCCCAACGTAGTGATTTTGTTGGCCTTATGTTGGCACCACCGTGTTACAACATTTAGCTCTTTCTTGACCTTTGTACTAAACCATGGCCCATACTTGGCCCAATGAAGTGATTTAGTTGGCCTTATGTTGGCACCACCATGTTTCAACATTTAGCTCTTTCCTGGCCTCTGCAATCAGAAACATATATAAACAACACAACAAGTTAATCAAGTGAACTATTTAATTCTTTTTTTCATTGTTATTTGAACATTATTGTATTTCTTGAAAATATTCTTGTCTTAGGTCTTTTGGCTGTCGCCGCTGACAGGTTTTTCGAACTGCTCCTGAAAAAAACAACCCAAAAATTTCATGAAACTGTCAGATATCATAATTTTAGACATGAGATCTATCGTAAAAGGAAATAGTATTTGACCTTATGTTGTATTTGAAACATACAACTTAATGATTGAAAACTTCTTATTTATTGCACAGAGTGACGTTCGGATGTAGATTCTTACACTGTTATCAAGCTAAAACCAAATGATGAGAAGTATATATGCATAGTCTGTTTTGACAATCAGCAGACTGACATTAACAACAACATGTAATTGAATAACAACTGGTACATTATTGGGAGAGGCCAGATGGGGACTAAGAACAACAAATGGAATGGTGATGAAGCCAATAAACAAGGGGGGATTCAGTTGTAACAACAAGCTGATAGGGTGCTTTGATAGAGTCTATAGTTTGATTAGTTCTTCATTGGTCTGTCGCTTGCATGTGACTGCAAAATTTGGTTTTGTTGCAATTATTAGATTTTGTGTTAGTGAGCAATTCATTGGACTCAAATGAAATCAAACAGACTATGAGGTGGTGGGTTACTGGTTGAGGCTCGTGAAGACATGTTGTAGGTGGTTCCGCTCATGTTCTAGGTCATGGCTGCTGGAGCAATGTTCTTAGTGTGCTTGATCAGGGTTGAGATGACGCCAAAGTTAGTTTTAGGGGGCTGGTTTGACAAATTCGAAATCTTATCCACCAAGAATCAGGACTTCCCAAAAAGAAAACTTTTGGAAGCCATCAAAATCAGCCGCCACAAACCTTTGATCAATAGAGACCAAGGATACTACATACCATTGGGATATGAAGAACTAATCAAACTATAGACTCTATCAAATCACCCTATCAGGTTGTTACAACCTAACATTCCACCCCCTACCCCCTCCCTTCCTTGTTAATTGGTTTCATCACTAGATCCATTTGTTGTTCTTAGTCCCCAACTGGCCGCTTCCCAATTAAGTTTATTTGACAAAACATACTATGTACATGTATATATACTTCTCATCATTTGGTTGTAGTCACTTTTAGCTTGATAACGGTGTAAGAATCGAAATGTCGCTCTATACAATAAACAAGAAGTTGTCATCCATAGAGCTGTATGTTTCATTTTTGACTCACCAACTTCTAGAATGCTGTTCAAAACTTCAAACAATGTTTCATTTGGATATGACGTGTTACTACTATAACTGTGACATATATATCTGATATGATGATGTTTAGCAATTATTGGTTGTAAAGATGAATAATAGAGAGTTCTATATGGAAACAGGAGTGTAACTGACAAACACATAATGTTAATAAAGTAAACATACTAAATTTAAATAATTTAAGATGAAATGAGATTTATCAAAGTGGTTAAAACAGGCTACCTGAAGAAAAGAGTCAATTAAATCTTTTATCTACTCAATCAGTTGCCTTTCAATACAGTATGTGTCAGTTTCTTTAGCCTAAATGATGATTTAAACCAATTATTTCACAATATATTCGCAATTCAGTATCACAGAAATAACAATGCATATTTACCAGTTGAAGGCCTCCAGAAATGTAGTGTCGTCTGCTCTTTGAATATCAGGTAAAGCTATCAATGATGACAAGTTTGGTATTCAATTTGGAGAAAACAACGCTGTAAAATTCACTGCATCATAGCTGAAAGACCGGGGAAATGGATTCTTTCTTTTTGTCTGTGTAATTATTTTAACTTTCATCAAAATCTTTATAAGAAAACATGGCTAAAAATGGCCGTGTGCTCACTCTTTTATTCACAATGTTGGGCCAGCGGTGGCCCAACTTTGTGTAATAGATGTAAGATCAGGGAAAATAGGCAGAGTTTTTCAAATGTTGGCCCACTGTTGGACCAACGTGTTAAAAGCCACCGTTACTTTTAAGTCATTAAGATAACGTTGGGCCAATGTTGTCAAACTGTTGGCCAACCAACCAACCATATACCAACATTGGCCCAACACACCTTTGCTATCTGGGAAATAGCATATGTCGAAATTACCCAGTTCGGCCTAACTGGGCGTTCAGTGGGATGCGTAATGGGATATCCAGAAAAGCATGTTTACACGTAAAGTCGGGCAAAACATAGAAAAAATATGAATAGCTGCTGAAAACAATAGATCAGACTATAGATGGCATGAAATGCTCTTGCTGCCTACAGGCACAAGGGGTCATCTCTAAGATATTTTGTACTTTTTCATGTGTGTTGAATATGTCTCAGCTATTGATTAACATCTTACGTGTCTTTCTTTCATAAAGTTTACCTTGACATATGTAAAAAGGTATGATACCTGCTAACCACAGAAAAGCATCGTATTAAATATCTCAAAATATATAGATGGCATGACCACCCGCGAAGATCAACAGGACTGGATTTTATTTGTAAATTGTTATGACATGCCCAGTACTTCCCCAGTATAATTCCCCTAAAGGATTATCTGATCTTAGCTGATATCTCTATCCCCCTGCCCGACCCCAAACATCGAATGTGATACCCACCCTGGTTTTGCTTTTGAGATGACCCCTCCTATCTGTTTCATTTTGTAGTGACAGTGAGACTCCATGGTAGGTACATCCTTAATAGTTTCAGTATTAAAGTTATTATTTTGTACGTCAGCTATTGTTTATAATGAAGCTAAGTCTAATTTCAAAATGGGCATTTAAAAAGTGTCCTTTGAAATACAATACCATCGCACACTAATTTGCATAAAGCTGGTCTGTTCAAAATAAGTCGCTTTGGAAAAAACCTCATTGCTCATTTCTGCACTAATCTTTCCTCACTAAAGTCCTTTTATTACGTTTCCTATCTCTCTACCACTTAGACTGCAGTTAGGCCGAACTTGGTTTATCAGATATGTCACACTTTCACATATCAACTACATAAATTGTAGAGATAAATATGAAAAAACAGTTTTCTTCTATTTCCGACAGTAATTTCACATTGAATGATAACTTCCTCAGCTGTGATAACATAAGCCATGTGTATTTTCAAGGGTGTTCGTATAAAAGGAATAATTTCCATGACATTAAATACAGAAGCTGACCTTCCTAGAATTAGTTTAACGCATAAAGATCTGGTCTAGAATTGATCTTCAGCAACCCAGGGCCAGATTTCCCGACTTAGTTGAAGTATGTCAATGACATCCAGACATAATTATTTCCAGACCTCCGGCATTAGTGATGTTCTGATGATAAAAAAATTTCGTAAATCGATCGAAAGAAGGATATTAAAAATGATTATCGATTGTAAAAAACATATTTTCAATTAATTGGAATTTTGTTGTTTTTGTATAACAGCCTTGAATGAAGTAAACTAACCATCAAATTTGACGCATATTCACGTAGATACATGTGCTCAACAGCGTAAAGCTATGCACATTGTAAAATTTTAACCACTTTTATTGTTTAATTACAATTTCAGCGTCTTTCTTTCATACTTGCATTTCATTGCACGACAGCATTAGTTATAAAAAAACATTAATTAGAAAAAAAAAAACCTGAGGAAAACCGTTAAAATTGGTGATTACATTAAAAATGTATATATTTCGATTATAATCGATAATTGTTCACCACAATCCCCCGATAATCGATAGTGGATTTGGTTTCCGATTCCCAACACTATCCGGCATATAGCTGGACATTGCTGAGTATGGTGTTAAACAACAAAACAACAACAACTAAAATTAAAGCCAATGTATGTCTGTTTACAACTATAGTGGAAGTGTGTGTTCTATACTTACTGATCGCCAGGAACATTAGAAGGGCAGGAACACCGAAGGCAAGTGGGTAACATGTGTCTTCTATACAGTGTACATCAGCTGTAAAACCATTGTAAATACACAACATCAACATCACAAAACAACCAGGCTCAATTATTACTAAAACAGATTACAGGAGTAAAAATTAGGGGAGTGGCTCACTGACAAATCAGCAAGTACACAAGGGTCATAATAAACACAGTATTTGTATTGCTATGACCTTTGGTAACTGTGTAGTTATGCACAAGCGTATGAACACTTTGTGGATCAGGGATAGGTGTTGCACCCACCATGCACACGATTTGCCTAAAAACAAAATTTTTGTTGGAGGAAAACATTTCCTCTTCCTTCAAGGCTAAACAAGGACTGTCTAAGAGGAACCATTTTTATCCCTAACTTTGGCTGGTTAACAGAACATTACCTTCGTGTGTGTATGATATCAAATGTACCAGCACTTGCTGATTAATGTTAAAACTTCAGTAAATAAGAGTCTTATCATTTAACTAAAGCATTTATGTGTGACATAAGCCAGTGACATAAAAAAAAAAATGTATGCCGGAAGAGTTTTTACAAGTGCACCTGATAGCAAAACATCAATGAAGTTATAAGAGACAATGAAATGACAGAATTTTTCAGCAAAAATCTGTTCAAATTGTTTTTTCAATCCCCTGAGGAACTTATTTTCTAAGCGAATGAATATGCCTAAATGGAGTTAACAGGTTGTTTATTTTGGTTCACACCAAACAATGGAAAGAATGTGTTACTATGCAAGTTATTGATATTAATTTTGATGCTTTTGTTTCTTAGAAGGGAATCAATAATGTGAATGAGATAAATAAAATTCATCCTTTGAAACAGGCTTGACTAATATTGATTCAGTGTGACTCTGTTGATAGTTTCCACATCAATACATGAGAGATGAATCCAAGGTGTTGATATATTTAACATCAACAGATTCTGTGTATGAAATGACTGAAGTGAGCAAACAGAGGATGTTTGCTTCATTGATGAAATTCAGTTATTTGTTTAACACTTTCTATATTAATATTCAAGCAGGAGAATACAAAATAAAGATGATTATTAACGGACAGTATTTCGGACTATCTGGAGAAACTACACAATATACAGTTGTCTGACATTCACTGTAGAACTGTCGGAAGCTTTTCAATTCTGCTGTCATCATATGGGAACAGCTGCAGCCATTGCTACAACTCAATGCCCACAAAATATCTACTTCAATAAAACAGATCTAACTGATTTGTATTCAGTTGGATTGATGTTTTTACACTGTGTCTGATGAAATTAGCATGGATGAAATTATACATATGCTAATCTACTGAAGGAGGATTTTTTATGCATTAACAACTTGTATAAACTCCAGTATCCTTCACGAATATCTTCTCCTTGTCCATAATGCCGTGTATCACTTGCTTGATAGCGGTGCTAGCATCTACACTGAAATGTCGCACCTATTCAACGTTCGAAATACCTGCCTGCCTGACTGCCCGGGACGGGTTATTTTCAACATGGACTGCCAGATTCTCAAATTCACCTGCCCGACGGTCGGGTTAAAATTTAGACATGTATTTGAAGATATTCATCATATTTCAGGAAAACAAATCATTATTAATTCACTCGTAAAAGTAAATGATGAATTCCAATTGGATCATAAACTATGTCGCTTGTCAAACCTAAATTATTTGCGGGCAGATACGTTTTGGTCAAGTTTTACACCTAACCAGCCCTGTGGTCTGGCTGAAATGTTTGGGAGTTTCATACCCTTCTATTGCAATAAAGATGTTGTGTATCCATAACATGTGTTCCTCTTCATCATACCAGCTTTTAAATGCCACTTACAGAAGATGCTAATGTATTCTTAACAACAAACTAGGACACTCTAAGGTCCATGAAGGACATATTTTTCTTCAACTTGTTTTAGTCTTGGTATAAGACTGTGAAATGTTTAAACCAATAGTATTCCAAATTAAACTGTACAATAAGCGAATATGTACAGTAAGTACTTATCCCTATAGAACCATGATCAATTGGTATTCAAATGAATACACAATGAATTTTTGGAAAGTGGTCAAAAGGAACATATGTTATATTGGGATTACACTCCATATGTTTAGTACCAATTTTCTATTTGGTATTTGGTTTTGGATTTGAACACACAGTAGAAATTATAGTACTTTGTTATTTAGAGTCCCATCTAGGATTCGAACCAACACTCTCAGATTTGTGCACGTAATCGCCAGAGTACAAAGTCGGCAATCTAACCTGCTCAGCCTTCCACAAAAATTGAGGAGGGACAAGTGGTAGTAGATCACATACTCTGTGTGCCCCTCTTACTGGTATGTAAGGATATATTCAGGACTGAGATTGTTAGTGGCTGCACCCTTGATGGGAGTTGAAGTAGTATAAACATACGTCCCTTAATGACAGTTTTCATATATAGCAAATGTATTGTGTTCAAGTGACAATATAGTGAAAATATTGTCAATATGACTATTTATTAACTCACTATCATAATATAGCCATGGCATGGTGCAATAAATAACAATATATAGGGAATCTCACCTGAGTGTCTTTTGATATCAAATATATCACCACGTGTTGATAAAGTTACAAATATCCAAGGCTTGCCGAGGATAGTTTTATTTTATTCAACGAGTATTGATATATTTGATATCAGAAGACAGGGCAAGATTCTATTTATCATAAAAATCACTCTTCACTAGTTTTCAATGAAAAATGTACATCTCTGAAACCAGTACTGCCATCAGACTTGCAGTGCAGTGAAGTCATAACATTGTGACATCATCAAGTTTGTGATGTCATAGCATTGTGAGTCATGTATGATGTCAGGGTGATGATGTCTCCTAGGAGATATCGTTTGATCTCACACAAGCAATATCTCCTGTGGAACACAGTTTTGGATGATAAATTTTTTTATTGGCAATACTGTAGGTCTTCTTCATGGGTTTGTACGATGCAGAATTTTGTTGATTATGACCTCAAATGAGTCAACATGGAAATTACTGTTACAATCTGATGAAGCAACAATGTTGTTTTCATCACAGAAAAGATAATTGCGAGTACCAAGTGTTCCGCAACATCAGTCCTGTTCCATAAACGAGTCCCTTACATTAATATCATCATGTGCCATCGGAACTAAAAATACATCACTCTACAAACACATCAATAGTTGTTCACCTGTGGCAACTGAGAGCCACGGCAGGTCAACATTGCTAACGAGGGTGCAAGATGGTGCAAGACTGATAGCCAGATGTGACATTACAGCTCAGCCACATCACCTAATTATGAATATCTGTTAACATAAGCATGATAAGAAGTCCATTTACCCATGCTAGGTTATATTCATGTGAACGCTCTCAGCTCCAGAAAGCATAACTAAACCAATTGACTATTGTGTGCTTCATGTTCATTCCCAGCTTCCAGGGAGTATATTGCCAAAACAGTCATGAGAACCAAGAATTTTAAAAATGTATTACCTTCTCATCCTACCGGGTACCCATTGACAGATGATGAACACCTACATTTCCAAACAAAGTCACCTTATTGAGGATACACCACATGAGAAATTCACATTTTCAGAGCGGGGCAGGACCGAAGAAGAAACTATTTGTGAGTGAGTTTAATTCCAGCTATATGGCGGTGGTCTGTAAATAATCAGGTAGTCACCTAATTGTTTCATCGGCATTCTAGAAGTTGGTGAGTCAAAATAGAAACATACAACTCCATGGATGACAACTTCTTGTTTATTGCATAGACAGACGTTTCAATGTAGATTCTTATATCGTTATCAAGCTCAAAGTGACTCTGACTGACTGACTGAGTTTAGTTTTACGCCGCTTTTAGCAATATTCCAGCAATATCACGGCGGGGGACACCAGAAATGGGCTTAACACATTGTGCCCATGTGGGGAATCGAACCCGGGTCTTCGGCGTCACGAGCCAACGCGTTAACCACTAGGCTACCCCACCGCCCCCCAAAGTGACTCTACATCGAAACATCGGTCTATGCAATAAACAAGAAGTTGTCATCCAAGGTGTTGTATGTTTCAATTTTGACTCACCAACTTCTAGAATGCCGATGAAACAATTAGTAGACTACCTGAATATTTACAGACCCCCACCATATAGCTGGAATATTGCTGAAGTTGTGGTCCATAAAGTTGTGTGTTTCATTGTTAGCAGTCTAGCTGCAAAACATGGTCATCTTTTGAGACAAACACTGTACAACTTTGCATTTTTTGTGACAGCACAATCTACATTGGGCCATGTGCAAGCAGGCACTGCTACTAAATATATGTGACTCTGCTTCTGGTGAAGAAAGTTTTTACCTCGTAACATAGGTGTGAAGAATGTTGACAGGACACTGCCTAAGTTGATCATGAAGTAAAATACGGAGAAGAATGTTGTCCTTTCTTTTTTCCTGAAATGACAATATTCCTGAAATTACAAAATTCCCAAATGACATTATTCCTGAAATTACAATATTCCTGATTTCAAAACCTCCAGTGATGTCACTGTTGTCTTGCCAGGTTCTCCTTTTACTGAGTAAACCTCAACGTGCAATTTCGCTGGCATTCTCAAGAAATCCTGCGGATTTTCTACAGAACTGCCCGCATCCATGGGATGTTCCGGGGAACAGCCCTTTCGGCCCTCCCCAATTTCCCTCTGCCGCAGGCTTACTTTTTCAAATGTAACCTCGGAGTCGGTTTTGATCCTTCACATAACAATATTTCTGAATGACAATATCCCTGAAATGACCATGTTCCTGATATGACAACATTCCTGAAATAACAATATTCCAGAATGACATTATTGAATGAGCGTTATTGTGTTTGTTCTTTATTCAAAACTTCATTATTTAATTACATCTCACCTGTGAGGCATGGAACTGGTCTCCCCCGAACGCAGACACACATGGTTTGATGCCTCCTGTCCCCAGGCCTATCACCAACAGACCAATCAGAGGGCCGATCCTACAAATACCCATCAGGATCTCTCAACAACCTAAATGTACCTGTCTATCTGGGTACTCTATATGTTGTCTACACTTGAAAGTGTTTTGTTATGTCAGAGATGGTTGCTGTAATACTATGAATGTTTGATGTTCTGTCTAAAGGAGAAGGGTGTGTAGACATATTTATTTGTCTGTTCACTACTCATTTGTCATTTAAATTTGTAAGCATAATTTTTACCTTTTAGTGGAATGAAAGAATGAATGAATGAATGAATGAATGAATGAATATACTGATTACATATTACTCTTTACTATAGCCATCACTTTTTGTAGAGTAAGTGGAAAGATTAACCCAATTGAAATTGCTTCACTATGAGTGAGTGAGTGAGTTGAGTTTTACGCCACACTCAGCAATATTCCAGCTTTTTGGAGGCGGTCTGTAAATTACGAGTCTGGACCAGACAATCCAGTGATCAACAGCATGAGCATCAATCTGCGCAAATGGGAACCGATGACATGTGTCAACCAAGTCAGTGAGCCTGACCACCCGATCCCATTAGTCGCCTCTGACGACAAGCATGGGTTACTGAATATCACTATTCTAACCTGGACCTTCACGGGTTCACTATGGAGAAGTGTGAGTACCCGGTACTTACTTCTCTCTGGGTGGAAGTGCTGTAAGCGCCAGGATGAGGTTCCCGATGCAGTACACCACAGACAGGTAGAGGATGGTCCTGCAATAAACATCCTCGTTAACCTGTGTTTGAACAACTAAACTTATGCAGTCTCCTCCATCTGTGAAAATGTTGTTTTTCACTCTGTCTTCTTTGTACATCATATGTGATATAATTTCAGAAAAATTACAAAATAATACCAACAAGTGTTGAAGTGAGCACAGCTCACATATCACATATCCCTGCTTTCCACTTTGGGACATGGAAATGACTGATATTGATGTATATAAATCACATGTTGTTGACATGAAGCAAGATGGTGCAAGACTGATAGCCAGATGTGACATTACAGCTCAGCCACAATACCTAATGATGAATATCTGTTAACATAAGCATGATAAGAAGTCCATTTACCCATGCTAGGTTATATTCATGTGAACGCCTCAGCTCCAGAAAGCATAACTAAACCAATTGACTATTGTGTGCTTCATGTTCATTCCCAGCTTCCAGGGAGTATATTGCCAAAACTGTCATGAGGAGCAAGAATTTTAAAAACGTATTACCTTCTCATCCTACCGGGTACCCATTGACAGATGATGAACACCTACATTTCCAAACAAAGTCACCTTATTGAGGATACACCACATGAGAAATTCACATTTTCAGAGCGGGGCAGGACCGAAGAAGAAACTATTTGTGAGTGAGTGAGTGAGATTCCAGCTATATGGCGGTGGTCTGTAAAAATCGGGTAGTCTACTAATTGATTCATTGGCATTCTAGAAGTTGGTGAGTCAAAATTGAAACATACAACTGCATGGAAGACAACTTCTTGTCTTTTGCATAGACCGACGTTTCAATGTAGATTCTTATATCGTTATCAAGCTCAAAGTGACTCTACAGTGCAATAAACAAGAAGCTGTCATCCATGGAGTTGTATGTTTCAATTTTGACTCACCAACTTCTAGAATGCCGATGAAACAATTAGTAGACTACCTGATTATTTACAGACCCCCGCCATATAGCTGGAATATTGCTGAAGTTGTCGTCCATAAAGTTGTGTGTTTCATTGTTAGCAGTCTAGCTGCAAAACATGGCCAACTTTTGAGACAAACACTGTACAACTTTGCATTTTTTTGTGACAGCACAGTCTACATTGGACCATGTGAAAGCAGGCGCTGCTACTAAATATATGTGACTCTGCTTCTGGTGAAGAAATTTTTACCTCGTAACATAGGTGTGAAGAACGTTGACAGGACACTGCCTAAGTTGATCATGAAGTAAAATACGGAGAAGAATGTTGTCCTTTCTTTTTCCTGAAATGACAATATTTCTTAATGACAATATTCCTGAAATTACAAAATTCCCAAATGACATTATTCCTGAAATTTCAATATTCCAGGTTCTCCTTCTACTGAGTAAACCTCAACGTGCAATTTCGCTGGCATTCTCAAGAAACCCTGTGGATTTTCTACAGAACTGCCCGCATCCATGGGATGTTCCGGGGAATAGCCCTTTTGGCCCTCCCCAATTTCCCTCTGCCGCAGGCTTACTTTTTCAAACGAAACCTCGGAGTCGGTTTAATCCTTCACATAACAATATTTCTGAATGACAATATCACTGAAATGACCATGTTCCTGATATGACAACATTCCTGAAATAACAATATTCCAGAATGACATTATTGAATGAGCATTATTGTGTTTGTTCTTTATTCAAAACTTCATTATTTAATTACATCTCACCTGTGAGGCATGGAACTGGTCTCCCCCGAACGCAGACACACATGGTTTGATGCCTCCTGTCCCCAGGCCTATCACCAACAGACCAATCAGAGGGCCGATCCTAGAAATACCCATCAGGAACTCTCAACAACCTAAATGTACCTGTCTATCTGGGTACTCTATATGTAGTCTACACTTGAAAGTGTTTTGTTATGTCAGAGATGGTTGCTGTAATACTATGAATGTTTGATGTTCTGTCTAAAGGAGAAGGGTGTGTAGACATATTTATTTGTCTGTTCACTACTCATTTGTCATTTAAATTTGTAAGCATAATTTTTACCTTTTAGTGGAATGAATGAATGAATGAATGAATGAATGAATGAATGAATGAATGAATGAATGAATGAATGAATACTGATTACATATTACTCTTTACTATAGCCATCACTTTTTGTAGAGTCAGTGGAAAGATTAACCCAATTGAAATTGCTTCACTATGAGTGAGTGAGTGAGTTGAGTTTTACGCCACACTCAGCAATATTCCAGCTTTTTGGCGGCGGTCTGTAAATAATCGAGTATGGACCAGACAATCCAGTGATCAACAGCATGAGCATCAATCTGCGCAAATGGGAACTGATGATATGTGTCAACCAAGTCAGTGAGCCTGACCACCCGATCCCATAGTCGCCTCTTACGACAAGCATGGGTTACTGAAGATCAATATGCTAACCCGGACCTTCACGGGTTCACTATGAAGAAGTGCAAGTACCCGGTACTTACTTCTCTCTGGGTGGAAGTGCTGTAAGCGCCAGGATGAGGTTCCCGATGCAGTACACCACAGACAGGTACAGGATGGTCCTGCAATAAACATCCTCGTTAACCTGTGTTTGAACAACTAAACTTCTGCAGTCTCCTCCATCTGTGAAAATGTTGCTTTTCACTCTGTCTCCTTTGTACACCTTATGTGATATAATTTAGAAAAATTACCAAAATAATACCAACAAGTGTTGAAGTGAGCACAGCTCACATATCACATATCCCTGCTTTCCACTTTGGGACATGGAAATGACTGATATTGATGTATATAAATCACATGTTGTTGACATGAAGGAAAAACAAATCTAGATACAGAGAATAAACCACATATTGGTACATGACAGTAAGAAGACAATGAAAAGTGAAAAGTTACATCACACTTTGAATAATCACATTTTGTAAAATAAATAGCAAAGGGCACATATATGGGTGATGATTAACTTGTGTGTTAAGTTCGGGGAATCTAGCATGTATAGTTTCGGTGATATGCCCCGGACAAGATAACCATCAAACACATTTTGCACTAAGTCATGTTTCCATAAAAACTAGTGTTGGGAATTGTTTAAAATCTCAGAATTGATGATTGGTTCATTACAACCGATCAATCATCGAAAATAATTGGTTAGCGTCATTTATTAAATTCTTCTGGTTATGTTTGTTAATGCACAAAAAATATAGAAAAAAAACTATGTAGTTCAAAATGCACAAATTGCACAAAATGCATTTACAAATTTCACATCTTTAAAGGAACATAAATTTTCTCTGGAGTCTTTAAGATAAATTCAGTCATGACAAGGAACGAGCTTGTAGTGCTTATGAAATATAACAGACAAAACCAACCTTCTGAAATATATTGTTATTGCAAACAAGTGTTCCAAATTTGTTTGTGTTCGATTATGAGTAAACATCGATTGCTTGGTCGTTTAGTCTTTGCGACCAATTATTTCAATTAATCGGACCATCACTAATGGAAACAGCAAAAACAAAAATTCTGATAAACTTTAAAATAGCAAAAGGCACATCTATGGGTAATGATTAACATGTGTGTGAAGTTTGGTGGACCTAGCATACATACTTTTATAGATATGCTCCAGACAAAATTTCGGGATGTAAAGATGGATGGATTGACAGAATAAACGCTATATATCCCCGTTACTTTGTAGTGGGTGTATAAAACTCTTTGATGGAGCTGCTTGAATCTGCTTATGACTGCATGTGTTCAATTTACATACTCGGCATTAAACTCATGATCAACATGAGCAGTCTCCTTTTTATAAAAAAAAAGGAGTTAAAATCGCTCATATTATTACCTCATACAATCAAACTGTATCAAAATTCTAAAGTTTTTCAGTGTAATCTCTATTCAGTGCAGACTATACTAACATGTCAACTGCATCTATAACTTTTTAAATATTTTGGAGTGAGTATGGTTTTACGCCGCTTTTAGCAACATTCAGCAATATCACAGCGGGGGACATCTGAAATGGGCTTCAAACATTGTACTCATGTGGGGAGTCGAACCTGGGCCTTCGGCATGACGAGCGAACGCTTAAACCACCAGGCTACCCCGCCGCCTTAAATATTTTGGAAACGGAGACCAGAGTAGAAACACACATGTCCAGTCACTGGTAAAGCACAGTGTTGGAGAAAATGATATTTCATGGATATTAAATGAGAATACACTGTGTGAGCCAGGTATTGATTTGCCATAATACAAACTGGTAGCATCTGCCAGGCACGAGTATATTAGAAAAATAACATAGAAATATGACTGTCAGCTATAAAACACAACCATGAAATTATGTACACAGATGTGTTTGAGTTGATGTAAACACAAAAACATACATACTTAACTCTCTGTCAACACAGTATTTTCCCAGTACAATGACAATCCTTAAAAGGGAGCACACTTTTCATGAGGGATTAGTTCCTGTTTTGAGTACATATTGGATAACCTGTGAAGATCCAGGTTAGAGGTGAGGTGAAATTGGGTTTACGTCGTGCTTGAGAATATTTCGCTCATATGACGACGTGCATGCGTGTGTATGTGTATGTGCGGCTGCTTGTACTAGCCCAGACTTAAGCTGGTTTTATAGTGCTAGCCCACTGAGATACCACGCCGCAGTGAAGCATGAATACCCCACTCAGACACATTATACTGACTCCAAGCCGACCAGTCCTTGTTGTACCCATTAATGCCTAACGCCAGGCAGGGACCAACAAGTACAATATTTTAACGTCTTTTGGTATGACGCGGTCGGGGATCGAACCCGCGACCTTCCGCTCTCCGGGCGGACGCTCCAACCACTACACCACGAAGGCGGTCTCCAGGTTAGAATTGGTCTTCAGCAACCAATGCTTGTCGGAAGAGGCAACTAACGGGAATGAGTGGTCAGTATCGCTGACTTGGTTGACACGTCATTGTATCCCAATTGTACGGATCGATGATCATGTTGATCACTGGATTGTCTGGTCCAGACTCGATCATTTATAGACTGCCGCCATGTAACTGGAAAATTGCTGAGTGTGGTGTTACACAAACTGGATCACAATATGGACTTAACAAGGAAGTTTACCACCCACCCCTCTTCCCCATAACTCCCCAAGGTCTGTTACTGGGATTGTGAAGATCCGGGTAGAATAGGTCTTCAGCAACCCATGCTTGCCAGAAAAGGCGACTATGCTTGTCGTAAGAGGCGACTAACAGGATCGGGTGGTCAGGCTCGCTGACTTGGTTGACACATGTCATCGGTTCCCAATTGCGTGATCGATGCTCATGCTGTTGATCACTGGATTGTCTAGTCCAGATTCGATTATTTACAGACCGCCGCCATATAGCTGGAATATTGCTGAGTGCGGCGTAACACTAAACTTACTCACTCACTCTCTCTGTTACTGGCATTGCTTGAGAACCCATTCTGAGGGGGACCCTGTTATACTGCAATCATGAAAAGTATTCTCTGTTCTGGAGATCCTCCATTTTGAGTTTCACTGACATGCTAATGTGCATCACCTGTATCTCCCGATGTAGCCGTCGGCGATGATGGCGCCAATGATGGGGGAGAAGTAGGCCAGCATGCTGGATCCATGGTAGATGGCTGTCGCACTGTCCGGGGTGAACCGTAGCCAGTTGGTCAGATACAGGACAAGGATGGCTGAAAGTAGAGCCATCATTATTAGAAAGCTCATCAACCTATACATACATCCCCTGATCACTGATGAACATAATCATCAGGAGTGAGTGAGTGAATGAGTTAAAATCAAAGTCAATATGACAATAGTAAACACACCACAATCAATTGCCATCAAGTGTTGTCATTACAACAATCATCACCATGATCACAAGCAAACATTTATATCTGTATTAAACTTCATTAAAGTGAAATAATCATCCAGTGTTCTTAGTTATTACCCAATACTGTGATTACAGCAGTAAGCTGTAACAAGAGGCATCAGAAGATGATATATCCCCCCGGCCCCCACATATTTGAAAGACCAAATCATCTGACAGTTACTTAAAGTCCAAATCGTTTCCATGGAAATCATGAAAAATATAAATGCAAAAAATCTGTAAATAGCAAAAGGCACCACCTCAGGTTTTGTTTGATATATGTACCAATTTTTGTTGAAAAATACAGAACGGTTTTTGAGTTATGCTCCGGAAACAAAATGATAATGGACACACGGACGAGGTGTCGACTATATCCCCATTACATGCCGGGGGGATAAAAATGCTGACACAGCATTGAATGCAATATTCACTCACTCACTCACTGTGTAGTAAAATAGGCACATGATGTGGCACTTTGATTCAATACACTATTTCACAACTTTCTAGCTTGACTTTGATGACATTTTTCACAAAAAAACCCATGTTCTTGTGCATTCAACACTGTTTTTCTAACAGAGTAACAGATGTACCAAAAATATGGAATATACTCACTTCTCAAACCATAATAGCAGAATCTCTCGCAGAACTCAGTCCCCAAGATAAAGAATATACTGGGAGGGTAGCGAGCCCTCCGGGTCAGAATATTCTGCAACAACAACAACACAATCCTTACTACAGAGGATCAGACTACTGAGGTGCTGATAAGTAATTATCAAAGAACTATACATGTCAACAACAGAATAATCATTTTAATTTATCAGCCAATACAAAGTCTGGAAAGACTTCCGCCTGTATCCCCTTAAATTTCATTTTCAAAGCTAGGATTTCATTTTGTAAAATTATCTTTAAAATTTGGGGGGATAGGGCGGAAGTCTTGCCAGAAGTCCAACTGGCATAAAGGCTGAATAGTGTTGAAAATAACATGAAAAAGTCACCGAAAACTTATTGAAATGACCAAGTATTTGCGAATAACTACAGCACCATTTATTAAATCAATAACTATATTGCTCTACATATTCAATGTTAAACTAATCAAGTTAAAATGTAAACAGATCTTAATGCTAAACTCAGGTTGAGGCCAACTGCTTGTGAACTAATTGCTACACCAATATTTCAACTGACCTTGACACGACCCCAAGCCTTTCCGCTGACCTTCTCAACATTGTTGCCATTTTTAAGGAGTTTTTCATCTGAAAGAGATATTGAATTAGTTTTCTTATTTTTATAAAACAATTATATAAAGACCATTATAAGGAAACATAACAATGCTTAATCATTAGTCACTAGGATGACAAGACAGAAAGGACCAAGGAAGAAGACTGACCGAGTTTGGTTTTACGCCGCTTTTAGCAATATTCCAGCAACATCACGGCGGGCCAAGGAAGAAGAATAACAACAACAAACAGAGCAAAGAAAATTTAAAACCCCCGAAATACATGCATTCACAGTTATCTGTCTTTTTAGATTTGATTTCTTAATTAAGACTTAATCCTTTCAGGAAACTGTCTAGATTATTTTTCATATTCACAAAAACAAAAGGGGGTAAAACTATGAGGCATATTTGCATAAAAGAAAGAGCACATTATCATGATTGTCTTTAAACACATAATACATACACTGAGGGAAATTTAAAGAAATTTAAGATTACATTTACAACATTAGAACATTATTTCAATATGAATATTTACTTAGCAATATTAATTTATGAATGTTTGAATTAAGTAAATGCCTTATATATAATTATGGACAATATCTGGAAAAATATCAAAAATATCAAACAATTAATTAGGCATTTTAATTAAAAATAAGATAACAAGATGATAACAGTTTGAAGTCTAAAGGTTTGCAAAAAATGGAACAATGAATTTGCACTGTGCCGAACATCAAGTGCATTGTTGATTGTCAACAGAATTTACAAATTATACAGACCAATAAACCTCACTATGGATGGTTTCAGGAATGCATGCACCAATCAGCATGCATTGTGGGAAATACCTGGTCAATAACACCATATATATAACAGTAAACAAAACATGCTGATATATTGTTAAGACATGCATGTAATTATGCTTTAATATCCATGACAACATGTGTATGATGTCACATGCACTTTTTGTAGACATAACAAACATCTGGGCTGCTGTGGCCTCTAAAAGATCTAGGATCCCTTATAGATCCACCACTATTGCCTGAATCCCAGGCAGCATAAATTATTAACACATACTTAACATAAATCTCAAAATATTGAGTGAGTAAGGTTTTACACCACTTTCAGGAATATTCCAACAATATCACAGAAGGGGACACCAGAAGAAGGGTTCAAACATTGTACACATGTTGGGAATTGAACCCAGGTTTCAGAGTGACGGGTGAATGCTTTAACCACCAGGCTACAGAATCCCCATTTCGCCCTCAGCTTTGTGTAGCCCATAACTGCCTGAAATTTCATCATATTGCATTTATTACGCATTTATACTGTTACTGTCAGAGCAACTATTGAGTTCATTATTTTTCATTGCATCATATTTTTCTCATAACGGACTACTACTGTGTAATTTGAAGATCTTATGATGGGTTTTCGTTTTTCCTACATAGCAACGTTAACTCAAGCAGAGTCAAAACATTTTGAATCAATAAAGGCTTTTGCAAGGACTAAATCAAATCATATTTAACAGCGAAACAGCTATATCGTTAATGAGGTATTCCTGCATTTTCTAAATGTTCTGGCACAGCTGATTAGCTGATTGTAATGGCAACCATTATTGGCAGCAGGTGTTGGAAAAGCAGCATTCAGCCTGACAATATGAGATGATGCTAGCAAGAATGATATTTTCAATTCAGCAACAACACAACTAGGAAATATAAAGACAGAAATACATCAGGCTAAAAGCAAACATTGTGATTCTCAATGACCTTAGCAAAATGAACATTCAGCTATTTTTTATCAATTTGAAAAATATTACAATCACTGTGTCAGGTAGAATTAATAAAAGTCAGTCATAAAATATATTGACCAAAATTCTCCAGCAATAAAAGATTTTTTCTCTCTTTGAAAATGGGTACAAGCGTGGTACCAAAATATTTATCATAAAAGAGCAGAAACAAGATGCGGCCATGCTTTGTAATGGCAATCAGCACAAAAGAACCAAGCAATTTGAATCCTTGCATAATAAAAGGTAACTGGGATACTCAGATCTACCACAGATTTATGTTTATGGATAAAAAATGTGTACAAATCTCGACATATTTGAACCCCTTTACACATCTATTTTTCAAAAGAAATTTCTAAAAAGTTGGTGGATGACAAAGAAGATATGCATAACATCTTCTCTACTATGCTGTAATAGTGACAATATGTCAATTCAGTATAGATCCTTGAACCATTACCAAGCAAGATTATTAGAATGGCAATTCCAACCCATCTAGTGATCTATGAAACTGATTAAGCAAAGGCTGTATCTCCTTCTTCATATCATCCCATCTATGCCCTAGTATACATAATCCTGTTTCCTTCCAGTCAGTGGGGTGGCCCAGTGGTTAAAATGTTTGCTTGTCATGCCAAAGACAAGGGTTCAACTCCCCACATGGATGCAATATGTGAAGCCCATTTCTGGTGTTCCCCACAATGCATCACCTTCCCAATATAATCCTGTGCTATGATCCTGTTATACAATGATTTAGGCATCTGAACTGAAACGTCGCTATTACATTTATGATACACCGTATTTCCTCTAATAAGCGCCTGGATGCTTACTTTGTTCAACAGACTTCCAGACCCGGCACTTATTGGAGTCCCAGCGCTTATTCAAATGTTCATCTGGCACCAGATCCCATACATATTTATATACATGATACCCCCTGATTGCAGCTTCGACGATTACATAATATCCATCACCTGTGCCATGTGTAGGACAGGAAGTTATGACTAAAGGGACTGTAGGATTTAGTCTAAATAAATCTATTTTTGGATCCAGGGAGAATACATTTATAAAAAATGTACTAGGCGCTTCTAAGAGACCCAACACTTATTTGAGGCCTGGGGCATATTTCTTAAACCGCTTATTTACCCCCAGCGCTTATTAGAGGAAATACAGTAATAGATCTTTATCCATAAAAGTTATCTACTTTGCAAACATGATATCTCATTAACATGTAGATACTGAGACAGTGATAACAGTGTGAACAGGTGTATGTCCATGTTTTGGGGTACAAAGTATCAAATATTGTGAACATTTATTTTACTCATAAGTGAAGCATCTTTGGAGCACCTGCACCCTTGGACATGTTGAATGTAAGCACCATGTATAATAACTGAAGCCATTGCACTTGACAACACCTCACCATACAACACAAGACACCTCACAATACGACACCAAGACACCTCACTGTACAATACCATGCCCCGACTTCTCGAAACAAACTTAAGTTTTTACTCAAATTTCAAACTGAGTTTGACAATTTGAAACAGCTGTATTTTTAACTCAAGTGCACTTTTAAAATGAAAAAGCCCAAATAACTTAAGTTATCTATCCACAAAACTCAAATTGTCTACTATATTTGAGTTTAATGTCGATTTCAGCTCATTCTGGGAAATGGATTTTCTCAAATTTGAGTAAAAACTCTAACTTAAGTTTGTTTCGAGAAATCGGGGCCAGGACACCACACTATGTTACAACGTGAGTGGGAGAGAAAGATCCATCATCATCTGCCCGCCTACCTTCCCCAGAAGCGAGAAGATCAAACAGAGTTTCATCTTCTTGATCACTCTCAGCCATCATCCTCACACTGTCAGAAACAAACACACCCATGTTGGCTCTTCAGAAACCACAGTACCAGAGGTAATGGAGCTCACCTTATTATTCAGTAATATTGGTTGGTTGTTTAACGCCGCACCCAGCAATATTCCAGCTATATGTCGGTGGTCTGTAAATAATCATGTCTGGACCAGACCATCCAGTGATCAATAGCATGATCACGATCTGGGCAAATTGGGATACGAAGACACAATGGTCATATGATGAGCATGACCACCCAATCCTGTTAGTCATCCATTACGACAAGCATGGACTGCTGAAGACCAATTCTAGCCCGGATCTTCACATGTCTATTCAGTAATAACATTTAAGTGGTAAGGAAGAGACTAAGGTAATATTTTGTATAAGACAACTTCATTTTTCCACTTATTACTTCATGAATATTTTAAAACCATGTCCAACGGTTTCTGAAGAAGTGAGATACGAGTGATGTTTGTTTATTTAACTAAAATGAGCTGTTGTGATGGCTATTTTAAAAATTTCCACCTGAAAAGATAACTTTGCAGTAGTTACAGACAAATAGGCTGTTTAATGCGAAAATGATATTCATGTGTAAAGCAGGTTTGGGAAAGAAGTGTTAACAAATGAACAGACACCCAGAGATATATCACATAAGCTCATCTTGATGACATACACGAAGTCAAGGTGAACTAAAAAGTATGCCATGGTTTTATTCTTAAAGGGGCACTGATCCAGAGCAATGAATGTTTCATGCCAAAAATTGCCTATCTGTCAGGATGTCAGTCCCTGCTCCCTCTACCATGAGAGACACAGGGGCTGGGCAGCTGTCCACCGTGGCAGAATTTCTTCAACTTAAACAATGAAACACTAAGAATGGTGGATGCCTATCAGATGCTGTTAGGGACCCATTTTGTTGTGTGGGGAGCTAGTGTGGGTCATGTGTGTTTGTGTGTGTGTACTGTGGGTGTCATCAATTTGTGTGTGTGTGTGTGTGTGTGTGTGTGTGTTATGCTTGTGAAATGATGAGAAGGAGGGTCACCCATTTTGTTCTGGGGAGCTTTCATCAATTTTGTACCTACTTACCTCAGTAAATGTTTAGATTCTTCTAGCATCAGGTTGATTTAGTTTACAGATTCAAATAAATCAAATGTGCAGTTTTACATAAAAATATGTTTAAAATTATGCTTGGAAATTATGGGAAGGGGAAGGGGGTCATTGATTTTGTACATGACATGCAGGGGGGTCACTTATTTTGTACATAAATTTAGGGGTGGTCATTGACATTGTACATGCTTCTCCATAAAAATCATCATCACTCCCCCTAGCCATAAATTATGAACGGTCCCTTATTATCCCTGGTGATGCTTGTCTGATGGTAATAAAATAATCCCAGCAGTGTAGGCTTGTTTGGATTTTCTGATGCGTGCATGGTATGATGATTGATCCAATTTGATTCTATTTCTGTGTTATTTTACTTGGATATTAACCATGTCATGTAACTGTACTGTCTATTGACCTATGATATTAAAACTGCACATTTGATTTATTTGAATCTGTAAACTAAATCAACATCACTTTCCCATTGCTAGAATAATCTCAACGTATACTGAGGTAAGTAGGTATATAAAGTTTTTAACGTAAGTACACAGCAAATGCTTACTTGTATTCTTATGCAACAATAAAATTCTGTTCGTTTCCTCAAAACACCGTTGGCCCCTAAATGTTTTTAGCCAATTAACATTGCATGCAATACAGCGATTACTACTCCCTTGCTGTAACCTATGTCTGGTGGTATAAACCTACACCTGTTTATTTGTCATCTTTCACTTGATGGGCAGTTAATGAATTTATAACAGGTATAATAAGTGGTAACTCCACTCAGATTACCCGACAAAGGTTCCCATTTGGCATTTCTCGTGTCTGGTGTATATACTCAACATTGTTAATTAAGGTCTGATGTGGCAAATGTATTACATCTTATGTAATATGTGCATAAATATAGTGCAGCAAGGGGAAAGTTAAAGAAACATCAATCAAAGGATTAACTGATAACACGCTGATTGATTAATTACTTTTATGTTGCACAGCAGATTTGTCAAAAGGTAGTGTGTGTGTATGTAGATTTACTAATCTATTCAGAATACACCCTGTCATTAAGTGCCTGTGTAAAAACGACACCCTTCCTTCAAAGGATTAACCGCAATACACTGAAACGTCGCGTGTATTGCATCGACTGCAATAAAGATGTTGTCTATCCATAAAAAACGCTCCTGTTCATATCGTGAGGTGAAATTGGGTTTTATGTCGTGCTTGAGAATATTTCGCTCATATGATGACGTGCATGCGTGTGTATGTGTATGTGCGGCTCATTGTACTAACCCAGACAGTGTTATAATAATATTTGATAAAGCTGGTTATCATAGTTATGCCATTTTGTTATCATTTATCATAATAATGCCATTTGTTATCATAATAATGCCATTTGTTATAATAATGTCATTTGTCATAATAATGCCATTTGTTATCATAATAATGTCATTTGTAATCATAATAATGTCATTTGTTATCATAATAATGTCATTTGTTATCATAATAATGTCATTTGTTATCATAATAATGCCATTTGTTATCATAATAATGCCATTTGTTATCATAATAATGTAATTTGTTCTCATAATCATGAAGAGGGAAATATTAATGAGTGAAAAAGATTTCATCTTTGTTGATCAATGTCGGATATTTACTGAAAGAGAAAAAATAAGGGATCACATGAAAGCACAAGTGTTCCTTTATTTGTTTCCAGGTTTCTTCACAAGCTATGTGATACAACGCTATGTGATACAACGCTATGTGAAGAAACCTGGAAAAAAACAAAGGAACACTTGTACTTTCATGTGATCCCGTATTTTTTCCCTACAGTATACACATCATACAGATATTACCACTTGCACTTGTGAGTGGCACAGCAGAGATGGCAACCCAGTCAAGATTTCATCTGGGTACTCACGGGGGAAAAACAATAACAAAAGGAACAACCAGTCCTAGGGAATTGCTCTGGATCAGTGCCCCTTTAAACAGGAAAGATTCATGCAACATACAAACATAGATGCCTGCAGAATGTTTTGTGAAGGTTAGCTAACTGTTTACACACATTCTATCATTTCCATCACCACCACTATTTCATACAAATAGCTGATGTTCATCATCATCATCATCATCATCATCATCATCAGTGTTAGAAATATAGCAGGCTTAAAACGCTTGTTTCTTTTGCCATGGCATTTGAATATATAGACTAAAACCAATCATTTTTAACATCAGGGTTTTAACACAAACATTAAATACCATATTTTGAACACTGATTATCACACTACAAGTTTGATCATGAGGTATACAGCAAAAACAATTTGAGAGTTGCTACAAAGATGGCTAATCACATGCATATTTTTATCATGGAATCACATCATGCTGTTAGGGCTGTCATCCTTCATCATTAATTCAGCAAGTTGAATAGGCCAATCTAAGGTACACCAGCCAATCAAACTCTGGCTTCAGCTCAGAAATTTATCCAAGGCTCTGAACTAAATTGCATTAACCTAGAAAAATGGGGAAAATATCATTATTTTATTCAAAATTGTTTTTTGTTTAAATTGCATTTTCGTAAATCCAGGTGAGAACTGGTCTTCAGCAACGCATGATAGTTGTAAGATGTGACTAACGGGATCAGGTGGTCAGTTGCTAACTTGGTTGAAACATGCATGTCATCGTATCCCAATTTCAAATATTGATGCTCATGATGTTGATCACTGGATTGTTTGGTCCAGACTCGATTGTTTAAAGACCACTGCCATATAGCTGAAATATTGCTGAATACGGCATTAAGCAAAACGAAACCAAAATGTGCCCAGGACATGGATGTGCTGTTGAGAGATACTAATAAATACAAGTTAAAGAATGAAGTTAAAGAACGCCCTATTCTTTTGCATCACTATAGTCTACCTGCCATAGCATAACAGAGTAACTAGGAGTAAGACAGAATCGTTCATAATATGAACATGGTTGAAGTATGACTGCAATGTGACACATGGGATGTGACAAGTGATCTATCATTTGTTTACACACAGTGACATACACCTGGCACATGAACAAGCTCTAATGATAACACCAAGCATATATAATCAATACCCAGCTAGCTATTTATTCATTTACCTGAATAAATTGGTATGGTAAACTGAAGACCATGCAAATTGGAAGTGGACAAAGGATTATGCCGCCAAGAGAACAGAATCAATTACAAACTGGATGCTCTTTTTTTTCAGGAATAATTATTTTTGTTGCAATTTATATTTTATTTCTGAGTCCCTGTTTCAGACAAAACCAGAAGCTTGACCCAAATCAGATGAGAAATTATAGAAGTAAGGTTATTACAAGAGTTCAAAAAGCTATTATTATGCATGTTAATTGTGTTAGTGAGGTTCATATTAGAGATATTATGGACTCAAGATATTTTTAAGATTTAACACTGACATAGACACTCATTCACACTCAGATTCACTCACAGTTTGCACTAAATCATAAAAGGTTCATATAGCCCCTTCAAAACATAAATTTATGTAATGGTAATCAAAAATTGTTGTTGTTTTTCATGAATAAAATGGTTTCACTGATGGTTTAACTCCAGGTTTTAATTCACTTGTGTTTTTGTGTCTAACACTGGAACATGTTTTTGGACCAAGAAAACATTTATTTATGGTCAAATTTGACGATTGTGTTGTTTATGACATATAGCACCAGTACATGTTCTTGTTATAGAAAATATTTATCTCAAAGATATAAGAAGTTCTGAATATACAATTCACGTCTGCCAATTGTTGATCCTGGAGGTAAGAATTTTATCTCTCCAATCATGAGAGAGACGTAATTTGTAGAAACAGTTTTGTAACAAGAAGATTTGTTTGTTGTTAAACACCGTACTCAGAATTTTCTAGGTATATTGTGGTGGTCTGCAAATAATCAAGTCTGGGCCAGACAAGCCAGTGATAAACAGCATGAGCATCAATCTTCACAATTGGGATATGATGATGTGTCAACCAAGTCAGTGAGTCTGACCACCCGATCCTGTTAGTCGCCTCTTACAAAAAGCATGGTTGCTGAAAACCAATTCTAACCCGGATCTTCACGGATTGTAACAAGAAGAACGTGTAACCATGGCACCTCCAGTGCAGACAGGTAATGTTGATAAATGTCAAAACTGTTGTTACATATTATTAAACTGGATGTAAATTATGTTATTTTTTGGCTTGATAATGATACATCAAACCAAGGAATTGTGTTGCTCTTTGCATTCATTTGTTTTGTTGTACGTCACACTTTTCACATATTTTGATACTGACATACGCCTGATACCCTTAGTTGTGACAGATGTCACAAGAAATGTCGGAGGTTGCATGCCAATACGATTTTGTTGGTTGGTGTGCGCTGTTTAAGGCCACACTAAACAGTATTCCAGCTATATGGCGGCGGTCTGTAAATAACCAAGCCTGGACCAAACAATCCAGTGATCAACAGCATGAACATCGATCTACACAATTGTCAGCCAAGTTATGCCAACAGGAAACAAAGAAACTGACATGAGATGTTGGCAGTGGGGAAGCAGATCTCAAGGCACATTTGAAAACGGATCTATTTCAGCATGAAATTATACAAGCATTGGTCACATGTCAATATGGAACTACTGACTGTGAAAACTGAATGCACTTCTAATAGACCCACAGGCATACACTGAGCAACGAAACATCTGCCGTTTTCATCAATCCTACAGAAATAAACTAACCGTAGATATTCAAGTATATTCCCTGCAAAGCTATATACTGATTATACACAATATGGTAGATGATGGAAATATACATAATTAAATCAAACTGCAAAACAAACTTCAACAGTTTATACATATTAACGAATCTCAAAAACTGAGACCAGTATACTGATTATACACAATATGGTGGATGATGGATGTATACATAATTAAATCAAACTGCTAAACAATCTTCTACAGTTTATACTGTATACAAATCTCAAAAACTGGGACCAGTAAGGCCTCTGTTTGAACAGCCTGTACCTTTGTTTGGTTGCGGTGTAGAAGTCGGCGTTGGTTCTTCAAGTGATCCGTAGCCTACCTCCATGGTAACTTTCACCCTGATGATTTCACTGAAGTGTCGGCATATTACAGTGAGAATCCATATATAGCTGTTGAAGGACAAAACGAAAACATGAATATAATAAAGATAGCAGATCTATACTGTGAAACCATTGAAATAAGAAATATAGATCTGTCACATGTTTACTACATCTGCCCATTACGAATACTGTACAGGAACCCATTAGTAGATCTACAACTAGACGACCCAAACAGCCAATATTCACAATTCCTTTAAATGACAGGATGCTGAATAAAAAACTAACCGTTCTCTGACAGGTTGGGGCCAGTACAGTACCGATTTAATGACACAGAGGACGCTGGACGGATAGCTTACGCTTATACACCCACCTTAGTATCAGGTTCCCTTGCAATACTTATATTTCACAGCTGTGATTCAGAAACAGCTAGTCTTTCATATCCTGACGCCGGTGCAAAATACAACTTCTTTAACTGTTCCTATCTGCTAATTAAATAGACCACACACACAAAATATTTAAAAAATCCCGACTAATTATTAGCTTCACAAAACATGAATCGATATGCAATTAAACGTTTGGCGAAGCACACGAATACATAGACAATATTGGTTAAGGGAAGCATCAAGGTGCTCGAATGATTGTTATGATATCCAGACAGCTGTTGAGTGTCAACACGCAAACAAGTCCACGCCCTCTAACGTCTACTTCATGCAGAATTTAGAGTTACTTCCCTTCTACTTACGGAGCCAAACAGGTTGCGTGCCACCCCGATGTGGCGTACGGGCGTAAAAAACCACGAGGGAAAGGCTTATGGTTATATCTATTACAGATCGTAAATTAAACATATGTGTGGATCTAATGATGCTGGCAGAGTTAAGAATAGTTTCCTCTACTTCATAATGTGCATCTGTACAACAGCCTTAAATTTCGAATTCTAAATTATTACGAAACAAGATCTATGTTCGTATGGTTTATCCTCTTCTTTTTGTAATAACAACGAGCCAGTCCTCTGATTGTACAATAACTACATTACGTTGTGAAAGTTGGGTGTGGGCGCGCGCTTGTGTGCTTCTGTTGTTCAAGTCAAATACTGGTTTTGTTCTAACTTTGTGAAATAGCATATAGAAATGGACTTCACACATTATGCCCATATTGGGAACCGACCTGGGCTTTCAAGTTGTTTGTTTGTTTGTTGTTTAACACCGAAATATTCAAACTACATGGCACAAAAATACCTTGCCTAAGGTTGGTTGGCTGTTTAACGCCACACTCAGCAATATTCCAGCTATATGGCGGCGGTCTGTAAATAATCGAGGCTGGACCAGACGATCTAGTGATAAACAGCATGAACATCGATCAACGCAACTGGGATGCGATGGCATGGGTGAACCAAGTCAGCGAGCCTGACCAACCGATCCGTTAGTCATCTCTTGCGACAAACATGGGTTAATTCTTACCCGGATCTTAACGTGTGTTTACAAAGAGGCACGCGACTTCCATAAAAGCAATATACAAGAGTTTACAAGGAGTTTCCAAACGCGTTTTAGAAAGTTTCGCAATCAATGAAAACGTTTCCAAATGATTACGCAAAATAATTTATAGTTTCCGCGTTTTTGTCGATGTAATGCAAACCATAAGAAAACAAAATGGCGGACGGACAAATGAAAGTATATACCCATGTTGGATGGTGCCTAAGGAAATGGTTTGATAAACCTGGCTTGTTTTGTCTGTAAGTTTGCAATGTTTCGGTGACAGTTTTCTGCCCAGAAACGTTTTGATAGCATTTGGAATGTTTTGGTCAAATCCAATATACCAGTTTAAACGTTTATAACAACTTCGTAAATGGCACTTTACATTGTCTTATTTTATACATTGTCCACTATTTATCTGAAAACAGACGTTCTTTTGTCAAATCTGGATCCCTGTAATGCATGTGCCAGGACATGTTACTATCATTTTCTCCAGTAAGCCATTCTCCATCTAACTACATAACACTTCGGCTGCTTTCGTGTCCTAAACAGTTACAGGCCGGGAGAGCCACATTTCCGAAACAGATAGCCTATATTGACGTGGCTCTCCCGGCAATAGTTACGGTTGCGTGAACATGGAATGTGGCTCTCCCGGCTATGCTGTCAAAACGTGCTTAGTGATTCAAACGCGTTACCGTATTTAACAAAACAAGACATGTTTCCTCATAATTTTATTTCGAGCGTGAGTGGTTAGGTATTTCTTTCTTCGTGAAGGTGCTGTCCACTGGCCAGAAAGTCTCAGGAGAGCAACTTCTGTGAGAGACTGCTCACGCTGAAATAGCTTTACTTTCTCGTGGCACCTCTGGGCAAGTCACTTTACCTTATTGTGCCATCCTTTTAGGTTATTGTTAGATTAATCAGTTAGATTAATATTAATCTAGGGACAGTCTTTTTCCGGTATTGCGATGTCACTGAACGTGTTCATTTTACATTCCTTAAATTAGCTACCGGTCTTAGATATAACACCCCGAACTTTATGGTTTATGGAGAACTTGGAAGACAATCTATTCAGTTCCAAATCTCTAAACGATTAATTACTTATTGGGCAAATTGAAATTTTCTCGTCCAAACAACAAAATAGCAGCTTTCATTCTAGATTATATTATGGATGATGCTCCCTGGTTAAATCATGTGAAACATATATTTTGTAAACGCGGCTGTGTTTGTAAACCCCTTTCATTACACTCAATCCTGGATCATATCAAAATCTGTATCAATCCTGAACGACCAGTTTTTACATTCGTGGGCCAGTGAAATGAATAATTCATCTAAAGGACAATATTATAAGATTTTTTAAAAACTCACCTTCACTCGACAAATACTTACTGCTATCTGAAAATATTTGGAAACCTATTCTATATTTTAAAACATCTAACCACAAATTGCCAATAGAAAGTGGGAGATGGACGAATCTCGCATGAAAAGAAAAAAGTATGTAACCTTTGTAACTCGCAGTAAACTGGGGATGAATTCCATTATATCTTTAGATGTTCATAATTTAGCCAACAACGCATCTCTCACCTAGAAGATAGCTCTTGTTCCTTCCCTAATCTCTCTACATGTAAAAAAAATGATGTCAAGTACTAAAATTTCAACAATCAAACACCTATCTAAATTTATCAAATGTATATGCTCTAGTTTTCAGTAATCACGGCGTATATTCCCTGTCACGTTCTTGCATACTGTGTATATTCTGCATTATATACTCATGTACCACCGGAGGTGGTTCCAATTTGAGTAATAGTGAAGAAGCTAAACACCGCGCTTGTGAGTAGGAAGGATTATTAGTTTCTTGTGAAAACAATATTATACATGGGGACACTCTTTTACCGGTTACAGTAATCCATTAATTAATTAATCTGTTGGAAATGTGGCTTTACCGGCTACAGCCATGTAATTCAAATGTGGCCTTCCCGGCAATAGTTATTTTTGATATGTGGATTTCCCGGCCTGTCACCCCCTAAACACTTGGTTTATGGATCTGTCGGTTGTATGAATATAGTAAAATCTCTTTAAAAGTTCAATTTTCCCAAGTCGTGGTACATGTGTCGATAATGACACATGTCTCTCCACACACACATACACACACACACACGAGCTGTGTATCGTGGCCTATCGTGACGATATATCCCGATAGCAGTTTAATGAGGCGAGACGATATATCATGAAAGTATTGGCAAGAAACCTGCGAGACGATTATCATCACGATACAATGGTGGCGATACAATGTCTTAAAACGGAACAGGAATGATAGATAAAATGACTGAAACTTTCTTTGCTATACAGTATGACTTGTGTTACATTCACACACACTTAATTGATCTAATATGAATAAATTAAAACTGAATATTATCTTTGTTCTCAATTTAATGTAATTTATATTTCTTGACAAAGCAAAGACATCATTCATAGTTGTTAATAAATGGTGTTAATGGTCAAAGAACTAAAACATGCTTCAATTACTAGAAGACAAGTATTCTTAAGTTCACAGAATTTGAAAAATGTTCACATTCTCTTTCACATATACACCAACTCCTTTCTACATGTAACAAAGATAACAGATGCAAACAAATATCTGTAAGGTTCAAATTGTTTTTAAAATTCAGAAGCATTTCAAAGAGACTCCCTTCCTATTCCTAACGCAATACTCCTTACAACTTTCGGCTGAGCACAATTTGAAAGAATAAGCCCTTAAACAGTACACACCTACAAATACTGGATACAGAAATAACAACCTTTCTTCAAAGATATCAGATTAATTGTCATAAAAATTACAGTTGCACGGATATCACAACATCAGAATAAGATCATAAGTATTTTGTTTAGTTTCTTGGTACATTACGTATGTAGTATCAGGATATATCGTCTCTTGTGGCAATACATCGATGTATCATGGGCCCTTTGCGATATCCATATCCTGATATATTGCCTAAATGTGTTTTGTATTGATGCACTCATATCGCGTAGTTGATGATGTAAACATCGATACTATCGATGAATCACTTACACCACTAATGAGGGCGAAAATATCGGGGTTCATATTTTTCATACGATGCCTATATAGGGCAAAATATCACTGTCATGTTGACGTGACGTCATTAACAATGCTATGACGTCACGTTTCATATGTGACGTTGCGTTCTACATAAGGCGACAGCGGGAAGCCAGCCTATGTTTTAAAAGTAGATTTGGGTTTATTTTCCTCAATTTGATGACTTCGGTAATAAACACTCGTGCCTAAATATCGGTCCCCCGTGTACATTGCTTTTCTCCTGAGTCCTTTTATCTGAACTGGGTGGTCACACTCGTTCACCTGGCTGATTCCGTGTCATTGTACCCGACTGCCCAGACGTTTGCTCATAAAACACTTGTAACTATCTGGCCTAGACTCGGTCTTTGCAGGCCACCGCAGCAGTGCGGCAGCCTGTAAATCTTCACTTGATTGATATTATGAGCAAATGCAGACGTCATCGGAGTACGATGACACGCCATTAAGCGCCCGAGCGTCACACACCATATGTATTTACAATACAACCTCTTTACCCTTGCTGAAAAAGACTGCAATAATTTTAGCAAAATGGATAGTTCTTTACAACTTACCGTAATTCTTAAACAACCTTCTTTTCAACCTCTTTTAGCATCCACTCTTTGCCGAATGTACAAAAGAAATATATATTTTAACCGCGTTGCTTTTACTGTAAAAATAATTTTATGGTATCTTTCACTTCAATATATAACGTGACGTGTAGACTATTATCTACTGAATTTTTACAACCATATGTATATTTTATTCTATGAATTGTTTAATATGTATACACGTATCTCATAAGCCACATAATGGCTGGCTCATACACTTCATTGCATCATCTTTTAATATTGTATGTACTTGTAGAGTTGTTAGGTGTGACACAAAAATAACCATTTCTTCTTCTTCTTCTTCTTCTTCTTCTTCTTCTGTATTCTATCACAGAAAAACAGGGTCGACATACATTGGGCCGTGTCTCACGATACTATTACACAGTGCACTGTAAATAAATACCTAGGAGAAAACTACCACAAAACAAATTTCTAATCTGTAATAATAAACTCAACCGATCAAAGGTCTTTTTACGGGACATGTCAGTGCAAAAAGCGCACTTACCGTCAAGCCATTA